GAAATGGATCTGTAGTCTCGTATTTGCCGGCTCTTTCTTCTTTCTTTCTCAAATCCTAACCTCTGCTTTACTTCTTCAGCCTCTCATAGTTTGTAAATCTGCTTTTATAGCCCATTGTTTTGTTTTTTTAGAAAATGCAATGTATATTGATAATGGTCACCATCTGGTGGCAAAAAAAAAATGGTCACCATCATCGATTTATTAAAAATAGAAGACAGAAAATTTAGATAATAAGTAATGTTTTGAGTAACTCTTATACCTTAAATCGCTACACTAACTTTCAGTACATGCAAAAGTAAACTTTTCTAAAAGCTTTCAAATGATCAAGACAATTTAGAAGGAAAAAAAAAACAGGTGCTTCCATAGATAAAATTATTACTATATATTATTCGACAAAACATAATCAATTTTAAAAATAAAAATAAAAACAAAAGAAACGCTTGAAATTCACCGAATTTGTTATCGAGAAAAAAAAATAGTTGAGTTATATTAGTTAGTACTATAGCTAACGAGTAATATTTCTGACTCATGTATTTGAACTACACGCCGTTCACCAATAAAATGAACCGCTCCATAAAAGTGATCGTTTGGCTAAGGATGCTCGGTCTAAAGTCTAAACATGTAAACATTGTAATATCTTGGATACTATAATTTTGATTGGTAACAGTTTTGCGGAATGCATAATTGTGGAATGGTGGAAAAAACATACAGAATAAAATAAGCAATTTAAAACTTACTTTTGTGCTTAATGGATTTTTCTTTGTATTTTTATTAAGCAAAAATACAGACTGCGTTTTTGTGTTTTATTTTTCATTTCATAGATTTTTTTTGATTGGCAATATATTTGTGGAATCACGTTTAAAAACTTAATTCCACAGGTTACCAATCACAGCCTATGTATCTTAGTTTTTGTTTAATAAAATAAACGATATAAAATTAAATAAATAAATGAATGCTCCATAACTGAAATTTTAAAATGGAAAGAACAAAAAAAGGAAATTTTAAAAATAGTGAATGGCAACACAAGTGCCGTTCGTTTTCCGTCCAAACGCACCTATCATTTTCCCTCGTAAACCTCAAACTTTTTTCAGTCAATAATATATTTAATTGTATTTTTGGTTATTCCATGTTATTTCTCATGTCCATTCCACTATTTATATTTTGTTTTTTAGTATTTAAATATTATATATATATACGGATAATCATATTCGTGTTTTCGTTATGCATTAAAGGTTTCTTGAAATTTAAGTGTCGAATTAACTAAATCGCATATATTTTTCTATCCAGTATTTTTGTTAATTGTCTGATGTGTATCTTGGAAAATTTGGAGCATCCTAACGAAGTATACTACAAACAAATGTTTCTACCAGTCCTAAACTTATAATAAAAGTGTGAATATTTTCAGTTTTGATATTGTAAGGAACAAATTAATATTTTGATGAGCTGTTCGGTGAATTTTAAAATATATTTGATGTAGTATTATTTTGAATTAAATTCAAATATTTGTTGATGATTTTTTCTTAATAAGTTAGTTAAGACATTTCTTGGGGATATTTTAACACACACCTGACTTCTCACGTGACAGGAGGGGATCCCTAGCAAGTGACCAAATAACGTCATTTGTGATCTATACTTATGCAGTAAAACTTCGGTTAACATGAAAATATTCCATTGCACAGGTATGCAAATATACGGAGTAACTCAAAAACATAATAATAATCCTTTAGCTATGATATTAAGCATCTTCCATCCATATTGTTTACCGGTTGGCAAACCGATTACAACATTATATATTAATATGGTCATGGTTCTACTTGTACAAAAATACAAATGATTATAGCGGTCCAGCTGTTAGCCGAGCTTAACTTTGTGTGCTATAATTATTCATACAGACTATTTTTAAACGATAAAGTAGTCCGTCAATGGTGATAGATGAATACAAAAAATGAAGTTTAGAAACATATACTGTTTGAAGTGGTTAATTAGAAACATATTGCATGAAGCCATGATATATATATATATATATATATATATATATATATTTATAGAGAGGTATGAGTTCCGATCCGATACCCATGTTCGATTAATGATTTTGTACCGATATGTGAAATTCGACTCGATTCATAATCTTTGTCTATTTGAGTTGCTAATGCGGATTTAGTTTCTGTAGTTATGGTTTTTAATTTGATCTGCTTTAATTTCGTTTTACTTGGATTGTTTTTACTTTTTAGTGATTAAGTGAGTAATAGATGAATATGTGGCTCTCTGTAGCAACTAGCAATCAATCATCATTCAGTTAATTAATTGAATAAACGTATCGACACAAGAAATAAATTCGTACATGTCTATGTAAACAAAACCAGATTGTCTTCAAAATATATGTTTCAAAGAGATCGTGTCGGCCGACAAACCAGATACATTCGTTAGCAAACACTTAAAATATACCACAACGAAATTATTTAGGGGTTTCAAACTATAGATGAGAGTAATTAGTTGATATGAAAAAGCTTAGATATTTAGGGAACAATACATGTGACTTAAGCAGACACTAAAAACCCCATGGTAGCATAATTTTTTTTTTTAAATATATAGATCAGTATCGGAAGCAATCAATCATTTAAAAAAAAAACCATTATTTGTCGATACAAACTAATTAATCACGACGATCTTCTTTGGGCACTTAAAACCAGACATATCCATCGACCATCAAAGAAAACTGATTAAGATTTCCATCTTTATACTTTGTTGGTTTTATTATATATGATCATTGTATTTATTACCAACAGCCCATTATTAACGTGCATGTTCTCCAAATCAACGCTTCCAATCAAATTCGGAATTTACGGTGAAAATAATTAGATTCCACATTAGAAAAAAAAAACAGTAACAGAATATAGGAAACGATTTTGTGAAAGTGTACGTCCTTGTTATAGCGGTTGACCAAAATATTTACAAAAACTCTCATGCCAGTTTATCAGAAAGTGCTTTTTTGGTAGATTATACAATTGATTTTAGCTTCTCCAACTTGATGGATTATCTTATGAAACCCACTTAGCAGAATTAGTATGTGTTTACGAGCTTGTTTTTTTTTACGAGCTTGCTTTGTTTCTGAATACAGGAATAAAATGGTAAAATTACTAAGGTGGAATAGTAAATGTTAAAAAAATTTTGGGTGATGGTACTAAATTAATTGAGGGTTTTTTGGGTGATGGTGCTTGTGATTGCTTTTCGTGGAATATATATATAAATTAGCGTATATATAAACGGAAAATTTTGAAAAAGGAATAATAGTAATAATAAAAAAATAACAAAAGGAGAAAAGAGAGAGGTAGTACAAGAATTGAAGTAAGAGTAAGTACAAGCCTGAAGCCTCTACGAATGGTGTCAGTGTCCTTGCCAATCTAATGCCATTCACTTTCCGTACCAATTACAGCTGTTTCCACTTGAAACTCTTTCCCACTTTAACTTATTAGTATTTTTTTTTTTCCTATCAAATACACAAATAACATTATTAGTATCAACATAATTTGCAAAAATGATAACGATATTATTATAATATTGTCAGTAACTCAATACAATTTGCTTCTCATTCATTACATGCACACAGTCTTGTCTGGATACTTCCATAAAAAAGTACACACAGAGTAAAAAATGAAATTAAATCACAGACCAATCTAAGCATATTAGGGAAACTAAAATTGATACGAGAAAGGAGGATTACCAAATTATGATGGCTAAAAGACACAATATTAGCGAATATTCATGTTCGGAGGCGGGCATATTCTCACGCGCAGGAGTACAGTGAGCTACTTGCACGCCATAAAAAGACTCACGCGACATATATATCCGTACGTGAGAGATGTGGTCTCTACACTCTACAAGGGTAATTACGTAAATTTCTATCGACAGGTATTGGGTGGACTGTTTACTGTTTGTGTTTAGGCCTTACCTTCCGTGATGACGACGACTTCCTCCAAACGCGGACGTGCTTTATGATTTTTATTTCTTTATGAACTTCAATTTTTATTATTTTTTTTTTGACCAAATTTTTATTTATTCTATTCTGTTTGTGTTTTTCATGATTAATCGCTGGGATTTATAAGTTAAAATTCTCATTTGAATGATAAGAAAACTATATTTACGAAGTGAACAATAGATTGGTGTTTTAGTTGGACGGTTGTATATAAATATATTCAATATATAATTGTCACTTTGTTTTTTCTCTTTTACATTTCGACATCAAAATAGACACACGTTCTCTGGTTCATATAACCTTATTTATTTACCATATTATTTTTTTTTTTCAACACCATATTATTTATTTTTACAATAATGTTATAATTTTTCACTATCAATTTGAAATGTAAACGGTGAAATCAAAATAAATTTGTTGAACTATTTTTTATCATATAACTCTAAGTTATTTTCTTTTTGACATATTCTATTAACACATTTTTTATTATTACCATTTAATGAAAAAATATATTTCTGAACTTTTTTGGGAAAATTAAGTAACCTGACTAATTTTTGTCCTTTTCAACTTTGTTAAAAGTAGTTGACGATATTGTCGTCTATATTATAGATTCTCTATCAATATTATAGATTTTTGTATTTATAATAACTTTATCTCGTTTGAGTTTAATATTTGTTTCTGTAGACGTTATTATTTATGTCTCTACTTTTTTATTCATCACATATCATATTGATGAATAGAGATTAAATATTATGATTGTTATCGTCATTGGTTGATAGGAAAAATTGAGAATTCAATGGTGAATAGAACAAATAAATTTTTGATACGAATCTTGGATTATTAACAAACAATAACAACAAAAATATATATTTTTTTAAAAAATTATCTTGGATCCATCATTTTAATTTCTGTCAAATGAGAGGCCTAACATATTACAGTAAACACCCTTCTTCTTTCCTAATTTACAGTTCATGCCATCACCGAACAAAATAAGAAAAAGTTTCGTAAAAGGTAAGATGTTGAAGACAACAGAACAAGGAAAGAAAGGCTCGAAAATAAGAAGACGACGAAGACGAACAAAGAGAAACAACGAAATTGAAAGGGAAAACAAGGAAAGAGCGAAGCTGCACACAGCAAAAAACCCTCAATTCCCTCTATCTCGTTCCTAGATCGATTTCCAATCGGAAATTTTGGAAGCGGAGATTCGGTTTTGGAGTTGCTCAAATCTGAACAAGTCTCTGGTTGTTTGATTCGATTACATCTCAAGATTCTATTTTTGTTGGATTGAAGGAAGGGGTTTATGCTTGAAGATGGGATTTGTATAACTAGTTCGACCTAGCAGAGTTATGCTAAGGTACACACGTCGATTCATTTCCCCTTTTCAAATTAAGCTATTTTAATGGGGGAGATGTTCAAGTAAAAGTCTCAATAGAGAACGAAAATCTTCCACTAGATCTCTCTCAGTCTCTCTCTTCTATTTTCGGGCAACGAAACTTTCCCCAAAGAAGTTATGAAAATTGAAAATTCATTGAATCGTTTCAAAAGGTATAAGAGAAGATTTTTTTGTTTCCTTTCAATCCCTGAACTGTTCAGTAATATCGTGTGTTGAATCTGTTGATTTCCAGTTGCTGAATGGTGAAGAAAATAGTTGTGTGTGAGAGAGAGGGAGAGGGAGAAATGGAGGAAGTAGGTCCTCAAGTCGCTGGTCCGATTTTAATTCACCATTCCATAGGGAGAAAACGCGATCTTTATCAGCAGCCGCACTGGCTGGTGCCATCTCAGCCGAGGAATGACTGGAATCCCAAGATGTGGGAATGGGACAGTCAACGATTTGAAGCTAAACCAGTGGACGGAAACGGCACACAGTTTGACGTCAATGCGATGAGGAACTGTAACATTAACAACGGCGGTTTGAGCTACGAGGGAGAAGAGAGAGGCCTTGATTTGAATCTGAGCACTGGTTTTAACGCCGTGGAAGACACCCCGGTTGTCACCAGACCAAACAAGAAAGTTAGGTCGGGATCTCCGGGAAGTGGCGGCGGAAACTACCCCAAGTGTCAGGTAGATAATTGTAAGGAAGATCTATCACTTGCTAAGGATTATCACAGAAGGCATAAAGTGTGCGAGCTTCATAGCAAAGCTACCAAAGCTCTTGTTGGGAAACAGATGCAGAGGTTTTGCCAACAGTGTAGCAGGTGAAATATTCTGACTTTCTTCAGAATCAATCTCTTTTCTTCTTGGTTATTAAGAGATTGGAACTTTTGGCTTGTAGGTTTCATCTTCTTTCTGAGTTTGATGAGGGAAAGAGAAGTTGTAGGCGTAGATTGGCTGGCCATAACAGACGGAGGAGGAAGACTCAGCCCGAGGAAATTAATTCTCGAGTTGTAGCTCCGGGGAATTGTGATAATACTTCTAGTAACGCTAATTTGGATATTATGGCTCTCTTAACAGCTTTAGCTTGTGCACAAGGTACGTAGGCTCTGTACCATTCTCCTCTCAGGTGATTTTGTTTTTAGATATTCATGTGTTTAAGTAACAAATTCTCGGTCTGCGTTTTGCAGGTAGGAATGATGCCAAACCTAATGGGTCTCCAGCTGTGCCTCAAAGAGAGCAACTTCTTCAGATACTTAACAAGATCAATGCGTTACCTTTGCCTATGGATCTTGTCTCAAAGTTGAACAAAATCGGAATTCTAGCCAGGAAAAATCTGGATCAACCTTCAGGGATGAACCCACAAAAGGATATGAATGGAGCTTCTTCTCCATCTACCATGGACTTACTTGCTGTTCTCTCCACAACATTAGGTTCATCTGCGCCCGAGGCCATAGCTTTGTTGTCTCAAGGAGAGTTTGGCACCAAAGAAAGCGAGGATAAGACTAAGTTAACTTCTTGTGACCATGCCACTACAACCAATTTAGAAATGAGAGCCTTGGAGTTTCCTTCTTTTGGGGGAGGGGAGAGAAGCAGTAGCAGTAACCCGTCTCCGTCTCAGGATTCTGATTCACACGCTCAGGACACTAGATCTAGCCTGTCTCTACAACTATTCACCTCGTCACCAGAAGATGAGAGTCAACCAACGGTTGCATCTTCAAGAAAGTATTATTCTTCTGCGAGCAGTAACCCTGTTGAGGATAGGTCGCCATCATCATCTCCGGTCATGCAGGAGTTGTTCCCGTTGCAGACATCTCCTGAAACCATGAGGTCTAACAATAGCAAAAACTCTAGTCCCAGTCCCAGGACTAGCTGTTTGCCCTTAGAGCTCTTTGGTGCATCAGACAGAGGAGCTGTTACAAATCCTAATTTCAACCATTCCAGGCATCAATCTGAGTATGCTTCGTCTGGTTCGGATTATTCTCCTCCCAGCTTAAACTCTGATGCTCAGGTGTGTAGCTCGCCATATTCCCCATAGTAAACTAAAATCAACGTCTTAGCTAAGCAGGTCTAAAGCTTCTTTCATCTGTTTTTCGAACAGGACCGCACCGGAAAGATACTTTTCAAACTATTTGGAAAAGATCCTAGTCAACTCCCTGGGACATTGCGAACCGAGGTGATCTAACCTTCTTAAAATGTAAAAAAATAAATTATTTCCCCTCAAGTCCTAACACTGGCCATCTCATAATTTCAGATTTATAGCTGGCTTTCTAACCTTCCATCAGGAATGGAAAGTTATATCAGGCCTGGCTGTGTTATTCTATCTGTCTATGTGGCAATGTCAGCTTCTGCTTGGGAACAAGTGAGTGAATTTTTTGAATGGTTAACACTATACGAATTTTCTCTAAGCATCCGAAGGACTGATGTTTATTCTTCTTCTTTTTTTCAGCTAGAGGAAAACTTGCCGCAGCGGGTAAGTTCTTTGGTTCAAGATTCAGAATTTTGGAGCAACACAAGATTTTTGGTCAATACAGGCAGACAGCTCGCGTCATACAAACATGGTGAGTGCTCATAAGCTGCTACTTCTTTGCCCGTTGCTGTGTATGGTCTAATAAGTTGGTCGTTTCTATGCAATTTACAGGTAAAATTCGTCTGAGCAAATCTTGGAGAACTTTGAGTTCACCAGAGCTGATCACGGTGTCGCCTTTGGCTGTTGTAGCCGGTGAAGAAACAACATTGTTAGTAAGGGGTAGAAGCTTGACTAACACCGGAATCAGGTAAATTATTTTTGCAGGGATTTTGCCATTTTTTCTGATCTTTCTGTTTGTTTTTTATTCCTTCTTCTAAAGCTTTATAGTCATTGTGTGCAGTTTTCGTTGTGCGCATATGGGTAACTATGCGTCAATGGAGGTAGCTGGAACAAAACATAGGAGTGCCAAATTTGATGAGTTATACGTAAATAGTTTCAAAGTCCAGAGTGGAATCCCTGACTCTCTAGGACGCTGTTTCGTTGAGGTAAGGACTTTGAAATAACATAATTTATAGTTGCGCTTAGTGAATCCTGTTTTTTGGGAGATGTTTAGTTTTACAATTCCTCTTGTGTCAAAACAGGTGGAGAATGGATTCAGAAGCGACAGTTTCCCTTTGATTATTGCCAATGCCACTATTTGCAAAGAGTTAAATCGCCTCGAAGACGAGTTTCATCCAAAAGACGCGACAGAGGAACAAACACACAACTCAGATCGTCCAAGATCAAGAGAAGAAGTTCTTTGCTTCTTGAACGAGCTTGGTTGGCTATTTCAGAGGAAATGGACATCTGACACTCATGGAGAATCCGACTTTTCCCTCCCACGCTTCAAATTTTTGCTTGTATGCTCAGTTGAAAGAGATTACTGTTCTCTCATAAGAACTCTCCTGGATATGATGGTAGAGAGAAATTTGGGAAAAGACGGTCTGATGAACAAGGACTCCTTAGATATGCTGGCTGAGATTCAGCTATTGAATCGCGCCGTCAAAAGGAGAAACACAAAAATGGCTGAAACGCTGATTCATTATTCCGTTAATCCCACTACTAAAAAGTTCATCTTCGTGCCTAATATCGCTGGACCTGGCGATATCACACCTTTGCATTTAGCTGCTTCTACATCTGCTTCTGAAGATATGATTGATGTCCTCACTAATGATCCACAAGAGGTAAAATTTCCATAGTTAAAAACACCATTTTTTAGCATCTTGCTGTTTCTTTCGATAACCCGAGTTCTCACTTTGTTTCTGATGGTTTCAGATTGGATTGTCGTGCTGGAATACACTAATCGATGCAAGCGGACAGACTCCATTTAGCTATGCTGCAATGAGGAACAACCACAGTTACAACACATTGGTGGCTCGTAAACTTGCAGATAAAAGAAACGGTCAGATATCTCTGAACATCGAGTATGGGATCGATCAGATTGGTCTGAGTAAGAGACTAAGCTCAGAGCTCAAGAGATCTTGCAACACATGTGCAAGTGTGGCTCTAAAGTATCAGAGGAAGGTTTCGGGTTCACATCGTTTGTTTCCAACACCGATCATCCACTCAATGCTTGCGGTTGCAACGGTCTGCGTTTGCGTTTGTGTGTTTATGCACGCTTTCCCAATCGTCAGACAAGGATCTCACTTCAGTTGGGGAGGCCTTGATTATGGCTCAATCTGAAGAGTACACAAGGTTTGTATAATCAAGTGTTGTTAATTCTTTTGGTTTTGCAAAATAAGAAAAAAGATATGGTGAAGGGAACTGAGAATCCCATAAGGCCTGTGGAAATTGGACATTGGAGAGAGCACAGAGAAGAAACTGATTCGGATCAGAGCAGACACTTCTTCAAACACTATTTATAATATTTTGGCCAATGATGTTTTATTCTTGAATCTGTTAATTTCCTTCTTCTGCTTAGTTACACTTTTTAGTTTTTTTTCCTCTTTTAACAACACAGAAGCTGTATCTATTTACTGAATTTGTTTTCATTTCTGGGATATGGAATCTGTAGAGCTCGCGTGTTAGTACTAGTTGAAGATTGTTGTAAACTTGTAATGTAATATCTTCTTTTAAAAATTATGTAAAAATAATATCAGCCTCTCGCTTCAAACGTTTTGTTAATTTTATAAGTGGTTAGTTCATCGATGGATTTTTGTACTTCTAGTGAAATTTTCAATTTGATAATCTGTCGCCAAAATCTATCATTGTATCAATGATTATGAAACGAATATTATTCGATCGCCAAAACCTGGTATCTTCGAAATAAATGGATGAACTAACGACTAGAAAAAACAAAACATATGTACATGATTTTGTCGCAAAGAAATGTCGGTTTACGATTTGGTCCGGTTCGCAACTATGCATTACCTCGACCTCTTCTTATCACGTGAGTAAACCACAACGGCCACGTGAGTCACGTGCTATTGACTGTTTGTCCAGGTCGGTCAACAGTGCGTTGCCCCTTTTCTTCTTCACCTTTCTACACAAACACAACTGTCCCGAAGTTTCTTTCTTCTTCACTTTATGAATACAAACAAAACCCTAACAAAAAAATAAAAATTTTGTGGAGTAGGAAAGAGATAAGATCGCAGGAAAAAAAAGGATGATTCGTCAACTTTTCTCCCAACATTTTGAACAATTAGTGGTTATGTCTAATTTTCTATTGATAGCTACTAACTGATTACGTGGATCACACTTCTCTTCTTATTATCATTATCTATTTACGATGTTCTATTATATATTTATATATCCGGTCTTTTTCACGAGTACTACACTACTACATTACATTTGTGGAAGATTTACACATTGTCATTTCTGTGATATATCTTAAATTTTGACGTGTTTTCCTAGCTGCTAATCCATTTGTGTATATTGCTCCGCAAAAGAAAACTTATAAGAGTTATGAATCAGAAAAATAAAAGAAGAATAATAAGAAAGAGAAGAATAGATAACTTACCTAAAAATACATTTATAATATTGGATGTCTGCCGAATGAGTTGTTACTTTCAGTTTCACTAGCCTATTAGATATGTAGAGAAGATAGCGGATATCTCATAATTTTCTAGGGTATGAATATGAACAATTGCTTTCATTTTAGAGTTTCGATATTTCACGCCATCTCAATTGATTGCATTCTATTTCCATCGTCGAACACTGACACAGATTGATCTTGTTAATTATAATTATCTATCCGTCTTATTGTAACAACCTAAAACAAAGCAATCAAGTTTTCAAATGGAGGCAACGGTGATCTTTAAACTAATAGTAGTAGATGTTAAAAAAAAATGATAAAACTGATTGAATTGCTCCTCTAGGAATCAAAGGAAAGTAAGTTATATATAGTAGAAAGGGTGTGTTTCACACGCATAAAAGCCGTACAGCTACAATAGATTCTGGACAACTCCTCATAGTTTGACTTTGACTGTAGAATCTAACAGTTTAGATTGTAGCCGACCCTTAAAAAGCTACTGGAGCACTTCAAAATAACTCACTAGATGATAAGAACTCCTTTTTCTCTCGCTTTTATATATAAAAATTAAAAATTAAAGTTTGGATTAGATGGCATGTGTGGGTCCACTTAGTTTCTCAAATCCGACGGTCTAGGATTTGTCATGTGTGTAAGCCCGAAAAAGACAAAAGCGTGTGCCACGTCACATAGAAATAGATTGTCCGAGAAGGGGTTTTTTTAATCCAACGGCTCACCACGAATCTCCGGTTCGGTTCTGTCTCCTCTCGTGTCCGTCGATCCTTCTGGCTCTTCACCTCTAGCCACGTCCCCTCGTTTTTTTCTTCTATTTGAATATAAAAACTATTATATGGTCCAAATTAATATTACTAATTTAGCATCCAAATTAATATTACTTATTTAGCATCCACACTCATTTCTCTTGTATTTTTCCAATAATTTGCTGTATCTGCTGTATTATATGTGAACTATATTAATATATGAGCAGTTATCACAAACAACATAATTCACATAATAAATATTTATAAATATAATCAAATTTAATAGAAAATATCTTACATTTGGAATGATGTAGGACCGAATAATATAGTCTGGGTTGATATTTTGAAGGCGCAAACGACAAAATAAGTTATATGCCAAACAAAAATAAAAGTATTTTATCATCATTTGCGAGCAATGACTCAAAAAATAAAGAAATCAATAATACTACTTTTTTATAAGTTCCTTTATATCTGGGGTCTCTAGAGACACACACATGTGCACTTCACTTATACGTGTATCTCTCGTGGACTTAAAAAGAAAAATTAGGGACACTGATTTGTCAAATAGATGATATGTCCAAGAAAAGTAATTAAAAGATAAACTTAAAAAACAATTAAAAAAGCGGATATTAATTTGAGTTTTCATGTGAATTATAAACCTCAAATTATCGTGACCGACTTCAAACACAAAAACCTCAATTTCTTATTTTCAGCTATAGCAGTCGCCTCCTCCCACTAACTCAAATCCTCTCTTCTTAGTCTTCTCAATCAAATCTGTTTCTTTCTTCATTATTGAAGCTGGCTATCGAAAACCACAAGAACTTTGGGTCCAATAAGCCCAATCACAAGAAACTAATGGTGAATGATTCTCTCCTTCTTGCTCTCTGTTTTTCCCCCTCTTACATTGAGTTATACTTCGGTGCTTTTTGATATTAACCTTTGTTAATTGGTATCAAATTCCTCCAGAGAACAATGATGATAGCTGAAGAAGACAATTATCTAAGTCCACCATGGCTAATCCCAATGCTAAGAGCAGACTACTTCGTCCCTTGTTCGATCCACGCCGATTCCAACAAAAGCGAATGCAACATGTTCTGTCTTGACTGCACTTCCAATGCCTTTTGTCCTTACTGTTTGATCGATCACAAAAACCATCGTGTCCTTCAGGTTCGATTCTTCATAATCTCATCATTTCTCGTTTTTCTCTCCTAAATTCGTAGAAACATAAAACAAGAACATCGAAATTTATCTCCAGATACGGAGATCATCGTACCACAACGTTGTGAGGGTTAACGAGATTCAGAAGTACATAGACATATCCTGTGTTCAGACATATATAATCAACAGTGCAAGGATCGTGTTCTTGAACGAACGTCCTCAGCCCAGAATCGGCAAAGGCGTTACAAATACTTGTGAGATCTGTTGCAGAAGCCTCCTTGATTCTTTCCGTTTCTGCTCTCTCGGTTGCAAAGTAAAATCTCTTTTCTCTGTTTTTTTTTCTCAAAGTTTTGATCTTTTACGAAAGTGGCGTCTTATTCGAATCTCTGGATTTCCTCTGTTTTGTTTTTTTTAAATGACCATGTTGCCCTTGTTTGGTTGATACAGCTTGGAGGGATGAAGAGAGGGAATCAAAGCCTAACCTTCTCTTTGAAAGGGAAGCATGGGAGGGAGTATCAAGGTGGGTCGGAATCTGATGAGGCGACCACACCAACTAAGATACGCAAGACGTGTGCTTTCAACCGTCTGATGAGCGGTCTCTCCATCTCCACCGTTAAGTCAGATTACTTTTCAGGGTCTTCGAGCTCCGGTGATGATAGCGGTTTTAATCTTTCCCCCGGGACGCCGCCGATATATAATCACCGGAATTCAAGCAGACGGAAGGGCGTACCACACCGTGCTCCGTTCTGAAATCAACTAACTATACACTATGCAGAAAATGCCCATATATATTAGAATATGAGGTCATTATTATATTGTAAATGGTTAGTATTCGGTTTTTGTTTTTTTTTTAACTTCTGAAGCTAGGTATAGTCTATAGATAATATAAGAAAGGATATATACTTAATACTTGCATGTTTTTCTTTTGTTATAAATATAGAATATAGGTTATAGTACTCAAGGGGTTGAAATATGTTTTTTATGTAGATTTTGCTGTAAAAAGGAAGGACATATGGTTCGTGGTGTGTTGTTTGTATCGGTGTATATTATCGTCACAATAAAATAGCAAACATATTTTTAGTGCATTTATGAGTCTATATGACTAGTGTTGCTGTTGTGTGTTTGTTGTATACGTGGTTAACGGGAATGAACGAAACGAAGATTGGATCGGAGTCCTAATGCCTCTCGTTGCCTCTTTCCTTTTCCTTCTGCCCATTTAAATTTTATCTCGTATAAGACTAGAAATTCAAAAGTTTGATACAACGTAGCTTCGTCAAATTTCTTGTAACTACTTGAATTTTGGATTGAATTTTGCATTTGTTTCTTACTTTGTTAAGATATGAACATGAAGCTTAAACTATAAATAGTTTATAAATTTGCATCTATAAACTTAATTTAAAAAGAAACTATAAATATTTGAATTTAGCTTCTAAGTAATCTCATTCTATAATACTCACAATCATGGCAGTGCACAAAACTCATGATCTACTACTGTCTTAACTTTATGTGTCAGTATCGTCACTGTTAGCTTTCTCAGATGCTGCACCGGAAGAACCAGTAGCAAGACGCATGTTACAGCCATTCCAGAAAAAAAAACTGTTGAGATCCAGAATGTAGTACTAAACAAAGAAGTTTTGATCTTCAGAGGATGACTTGGGGCTGCAACATATCCGTTACCCTTTGAGATGCTCTTTCAAATTTAGGATAAATTGGAAAGAAAGGCACTTACAATATTACATTGCCATTTTACATGGCTTGGAGGTGGAGACCGGAGATCTTTGGTTTTCTATATTTAAAGATCGGAGAGACACTTGTGATCATTGTTTTTGGAAGGTTAAAAGAGTGTTTAAAAGTCGGTCTACGCAGCCGCCTAAACACCGCTTAGACGCTAAACATTTATAGACCACCTGCCTATGTGCTAGGCGTTTATAGACTGTAATAGTTACTTCTTAAACGTTTTATATTTGATATTTATAAGATTTTTTTTGTTTTTTATGTGTAATTTAAATTTTAAATATATATTTAAGATTTCTAATATATAAACTTTATTATTTATAAATAAATCATATAATTTTATATATTAACTTTATAAAATATATAATAAATTAATTTATTTTGTAAACGCTTAAAACGTTCCTAGGTATTTTAGGTGCTAAACGGTATAACCGCCCGCCTACTTATGACCTGTGATCCTTATGGGTAGTGACAGACAACACTTTTTATAATTGGGAAAAGAAATCTCAAAACAAAGAACACATAAATTACTATATTTATCTTACCTTATAATACATCGAATAACGCATATAATTCGACTAAGGTTTGTAACTTATAATAGCTTATGTTATTGTTGTTGTCGTGTCATTATCTGAATTTAAATAAAGTTGATGAAAAGATAGATTATTAATAAAGCGGCCCATAGGCTGGTTAAATGGAACGCAACTTTTTAAACCCACTAATGACTATCGATAAGAAAGTAAACATCTACTTTATAGCCCAACGTTGGCCTTTTTAGGATCGCCAAATCATCATAATTATTTATTCAATTAAGACTTCTAACAGATACAGTTAACTAAGAGTAAGAGTAAGTCGTTGTGCGCATGACCACGTTATAAGCTAAAACCAAAAATTAGGAAAATTTCTGGCAAGGAGCAAGGCAGACGTGCAAGGAGGTTATATCTAAGCAAAACGGCTTAGGTACTATTTTTGGAAGCTATATCTAATAAAATATTTTAGCTCGGAGTAAATTTATATGGCTAATAAAAATCCCAATTTTTCCGGATTAACATGTGATCATCGTCACCTGAGTACCTGACCATAGGACGAATATATCGTGAACAACTAAATTTTGTTTGTTTTTCTGATCCTATCATACACACGTAAACTCATATAATATCCAACAAGATATATTTATTCATTATTTTGAGCCGTACAAAAGTTTTAAAATTTCGCTGATGCACACGGAGATGATGAAGCAATAGCGTGACCGTTTCAGACAATACGCACACATATAATATTTACTTAATTTTCTTTGTTAATTGTAATCTGAAACCAGAAAACGTATGTACTTATTCACGTCTGCATAAGGTATTCATATGTCTAATTGTCAAACAATCTTAAAACGGAAGCAAAGAAATAAAACTTCTACACCATTCTTAGTTGATTGACTAATAAACTTCTGCCAATTGCCAAATTGAAAAGTCCGCAACAAGCGTGTTTTCACGAAATTCTCTCAACTTAATCTTTTTGTAGAAATTAAATGAAAATTACGGGTTCAGCAATCTGTCATTAGTGAGATTTAAAGATATCTTCAAGTAACTGACAAAAGTTTTAGAAATTAAGTAAATTACCTGTATTTTATATTCTGATGATCACGAAATGTTAATTGATTACTTGATGTCCAGGAATAAAAATAAAACTCATTACTCGTGGACTATTAAAAAGCTCACAGATTTATATGAATGGTACAAATGGTGTCTGGATTCAACGCTATACGATATAATCAAACTATACCTTATTCTCTGTTCATACCAAGGAAAAAAAAACTCTGAAATGAGTATTATAGCACCAGTCGTTGTGTGATTGGTTAGGTATTTGACCGTGTATAGTCAAACACTTGGGTTGGTCACAGATTTAGTTACAACTTACAAGTAGTATTGTTGGGTATACTACTACTTGGGTATAAAGTCAAGAGCACGTGAATCCTTTGTGCTTTTTATTGATTAACCTGCGACCTGCTCGACTTTACTTAGATCGATGGAATAATTAAATGCGTACGGTGTTACCTGTATTCAGCTTCAGACTTAAAAATGAAAGTGGTTATCTTTTTCTTGGTAAATAATTGAAAGTGGTTATCGCAGTATAGTTTTAAGTTTTCTCTTTACATACTCATATACATATCTGATAAAGTGATCAGTTATGTAAATGGAGTTCTGGTTAACATGAGAAAATCCGAATTAAATACTTTTCAACAATGCCATTATTTTTTCTTGAAAGTTTTGAAAATTTGACTTTTTAAATTTCAAATTTGGAGTTAACAATTATAATTAATATGTGTACGCTAACAGCATACATTGTATATTTCTAAACATAGTACGTATCGAAATCACATTTAACATAACTGAAACAATATCTAAAATGAATTGAATTGAAACAGCCGGATGAACTGATTTTTTAAAAATGATTGTATTGTCGTCACGTTTAAAAACAAAATTCCCTTTATGTTTGGGTGATGAAACTGTATATAACATATGAATTGATAAAATTCTAAATTCTTTATTTTCTTTTAGCAAAATTTTAGAAGTATATTTAGATTTTAAACACACCATTAAATGTCAACGTAATTAATCTAATTCCAACACACATAGTTGCGAATTAAATATTGTTATGACAGCGAAGTGACAGCAAAGCTATAGTTACAGTAATGGTTTAGGTTGTGTGATTATCATAAACGTAAACTAAACACCATTCATGGGCTTGACTCCGTAGGGGAAAGTTTTGAATTTTATCAAGTACATTTTTCCTTCTTATTTTTCGTACTGTTTTCCCCATAAAAAATACCATTTTATTAAGTTTGCAGTACAAAACTCTATTCTCCCTAGAGTAGCTAGACCGGAACCAACGAACTTACATAAGAAAAACAGTAATTTTGTACGTTTGTCTTTTTTAAAAAACAATCGGCACATGCATTATATTACTAATAAATATGTAAATGGCACTAAAAAGATAAAAGAGTTCCTAAACGATATATACTAGTCTGAATGACTGAATCATAAGAAAATTAAGATAGGCCACTCTAAAATTAAGTTTATCTATCATAGCGAGGAGATCCGTGCAACACTGCACAAACGTGCTGCCAGTATATAACTCATTGCCGACATGCAGAAGAGTGTCTATCTCAGCATGTAGCGGTGTGACTTGTGAGTCAACCGTCTTTTCGCACCCTTTAGACCCAAATAAATAAGCTTCCCCTCCCATAATCGGTATCCATACGGAGCCATCGGCATGCCACGAACCATCAATATAGCATGGCCTACAAGACGGATAAGTAAAGTGACTTTGTTTGATGGGTAACGTAAACTGCAGTTTATGTTATTGCCCATGATTGGATAATCTTAGAATCATAACTCTTACATGTCTAAATTAGAGATGATTCTGCCTAGTTGGCATGAGTGTAAGTTCTTTTGCAATTTGTTCATCCATAGTTCCATACATATATTTACGTAAATAAATATTTTAGAACTCTTTATCAAAATATTATAGAAACACATATACTTTTCTATTTTTAACAGAGAATTATCAGGCTTTTATAAGAAATTACAAAAGGTGTCAGATTTAATCATTCGTATTTTTTGTGCCAATAATTAGGATAATGTTTTTTTTCTTCTATATCAGTAGTGCATGCATGGTAGGAGTCAAATACTACAAGTTGCTGTGGTTTTCACATTAAAGAAAGAAAAAAAGGTTGCTGCGGTTTCCTTATTCCCCACGCGTATTTATTTATTGTTTTTGGTCTCCTTCTCGCTCATTTTTTTAGTCACGTGTTACGGCTGAGGCCGCGTCATTGCTGACCATTCATCTTCACTCTGTACTGATACGGATAATAGAATCTGTTCAATTTCCAAAACAATTTGCCGGAGTATTTGTTTTTTTTAGACCAAGGGTTTGCTTTTTAATAGTAATTCATTTGTATTCAACCTTCCTCTTTAATTGCGAAAATAATTCCCATTTACATGTTCAACTGGTCAGCCTATTGTATTTCTTTTTTTAGTAAGGTTTTCTAGGAAACAATATATATTTAATAAAATGAATACAGAGAGATTATATGTTGACGCTTTATATTCCTGATCTTATATTATAGCTGGGCGAAGTTGACAATTTGATAGACTTTTTGGTCAATTTTTAAGCGTAGATGGATGAGAAAGGTTGTCGATATATAAACGTACATCTACGTATAAATACAAATATACAGCTATATACACTACATTCATATCTAAAATAACCAACACGTTAACCTTGGGCCTGTACTACTTTTTTCAACAATATTTTTTTAAAAAAGGATAATATTTTATCAACACAAATTCCACCAACTCAACATAAAATATAAAATACGTATATTGATATATTGAGCCCGGATCAGTAGTTAATTGGGTACCACTCAACAGAACTAACAATCAAGTTGATTATTTGTTAGTGATTGAATTACTACATTTTATGCGGAATAATAGAATTGAACAATGAATTAAAACAGAATGCTTGAATGATTTCCCTGTTTTCATGCTCTTATAAGACCCGAACAATATTGTTTAAATTGTTTAGATTAGTCAAATGTTTTGAAACTTAAATAGAAAGTTGCACAATTATCACTATTTTTCGCAACGTAAAATTCTTAAGAATAGTGACAGTATTCACCATTCAAATTCATAATCCTAAAATATGTAAATTTATTTTAGTAATGACCTTGTTAAACAAGAGTCAACTGACTAAGCTAAGCGTACGCGTCAGCTACCGGTTTGAAAAGGACAAACCGCATTTGGTTTTCGTTTCATTGGCCGGTTAGGTGATAATGACGTCACCATCTTTTTCTATTTATATCCCTTCTGCAACCGACTCTGTTTCTACGCGTTCTCTCTGCCTCTCTCTCTCTCTTTGCTGTCATCTACTCTCTCTCTCTCTAGCGATCACGATTCAAACTTTAATTTTTGGAAATTTACCTGTAAGAAGATTTGAAGAAACTTAAATGGGTCTCTGCGTATCTGTTGGTCGAAGCGAGTGCGATTCTTCGCCGACGGCGAAAATTGTGACGGTTAACGGCGATCTCCGGGAATACAATGTGCCGGTGTTAGCGTATCAGGTTCTAGAAGCAGAATCAATGGCTTCTTCTTCTTCCTCGTCTTCGTCTCGGCCTTCTTCTTATTTTCTATGTAATTCCGATTCTCTCTACTACGACGATTTCATCCCGGCGATCGAATCGGAGGAGATCCTTCAGGCGGGTCAAATCTATTTCGTTCTCCCGATCTCTAAACGGCAGTATCGTCTCACGGCGTCGGATATGGCGGCGCTCGCCGTGAAAGCTAGCGTCGCGATCGAGAAAGCGGCGGGTAAGAAAAATCGCCGTCGTAATCGCGGAAGGATTTCGCCTGTGATGATGCTGAATCAGCCTAACGATCGGATCGTCGCCGTCAATGGACTTTCAGGCGAAACGACGATGATGCAAAAGGGGAAGCTGTCGAATAAAACGACGCCGTTTAAGACTAGTACAAGCGGTTATTCCCGGTCTGGTTCGGTACGGAAATTGAGAAGATATGCGTCTGGGAGAGCTAAGCTTGCGGCTAGATCGATTAAAAGACTCTCAACCATCTACGAAGGAACTGTCTCTTAGATTTCTTAATATATACAGTTCATTTTTTTGTTGTTGTTACGGAAATGATTGTGTAATGTTACAAATGATGATAATAACACACTCTCTGTCGTTAAAAAAAAAAAAAAAAACACACTCTCTGTATATTACCGTTTTCACTTTGCTTTTGTGATATATTCTTAAATTTTTTCATGTCATGTAGTCTACTTATTTACCATAGCTTATAAGTTATAAATCAATTATGCATGATTGAATTCATGAAGACGCATTATGCATAAATACCACATTGGATTTTACTGTTTTATATGTTCAAAATGATATAAAATCGTTTAGATCTAGTTTATTTTATCATACTCATTAGAGAATAGAGACACACAACTGGTTTTTCGAACTTTTTGATAAATCATACTGTATGTGCAAATTTTCGTAAGGTAAGTAATTTGTTTCAATAGTTAGGAGTGTTTGATTAATATAGCTTTTTTTTTTAATCTATCAGGTGTCATTGTTTTTTTTGTCGGAACCGTTAGCTAGATCAATTGGATACGTTGCTTACCAGTCACCAGTCTCATCGATTGGATGTTTCATTCTATTTTATTTTAAAAACATTAGAGAAGAGACCAAAAAAAATCTAAAATCTTATCTTAAAGACGTGGTCCAAACTCCGCTTTAGGAAACATGATTATCAGATTATATGACAGTAGTAAATAAAATTTAGCATACGTTCATGAGCTTTATAATCCCTGAATTTTCTTACAAATGGAAATGTTAGTGAAAGGTAAAAATAAAATAAAAAAGACTTGGGGAGAAAGTTAGGAATTCGAATGTTAAGAGTTAGTTATTGATTGGTGTGGTGGGGTTGGAAAGAGACATATTGAAACTTTGGCTTCGCAGCCAATGGAATCCATCTCGAAAAAGTAATTTAAATATATCAAATTTAAGTAATTTAAATATTGAAACTTTGGCTTCGCAGCCAATGGAATCCATCGATCAACTCCTTATTCTATCAGATGCACAAACCCTAATCAAGGCGATCAACTCAGATCAATCCATCTCTGAAATTTATGGGATTCTATCGGATATTATAACCGATATGAGGAAGTTCAAATCTATTTTGTTTAGATTCATTCCAAGAGCTGCAAATGTTTTAGCAGACTCGATTGCAAAAAGGGCATTTCATGGGTTTTTTATAAACTCTTAAAATCTTATAAAGAAGTTTGGACAAAAAAAACAAATATTGAAACTTTTGATTTTTGTTTCAGTTTTTAGACTTTTTTTTTTTTAATGTAAGACGACGGTAATAGAATTTTGTTAAAAAAATTTGGGATGACTCTTACTCCCTAGTTAAGATATTTACGGTGAGTAACCATAACTAAAATCACAGTGAAAAGATTTGAATTATAGACCTCCAACTCTATGATGAATTGGTGCGGTTTTTATAAACCAAATTTTAAATTATCACAAAACAAAATTTAACAGTCATGATTGGTTGTTTTTTAGCGAACGTAATTAAATAAATCTAAGTTCGTTTTTGAAAATGGAATTAAGAGAAATTGCACTCTATGCCAACGTATTTGAACGTATACCTCTGCTGGCTTCTAATTCTGAGAATTTGCTAAATTCGTCGGCTTTGTCTTTGAAAGGATTCCGATTTTTACCAAAACACTTTTATCCCAACGTTTATTTTAGACACTTTTATCCCAAAAAAAAAGTTTACATTGGACACATTTCTCTGCTCTGTATCGCCTGTGAAACATAGAGTGGGCTTTTTTTATCAGCCCATTTAAGTAGCTTCTTGACCAATTTATGATCAGGCCCACTCTCGAGGATCGCTAGTTACTGTGACGAAGTTAAAAGTTAGCAAATTTTCAGAAAGAAGGTTCACTTTATCTACAAGTGTGAAGTGACGAATATAATCAAACAAAAAATTCTAAGGAAATTGGTTGAGTCGTCTGTAACTCATACACCTATATTACGACATTTGAACTAAAAACTATGACACATACTCACATAGCAACACCATTCGTATGAACCCCTATTCACTACAGTTCTCTCATATAAAATAAACTAGATTCTTCGTTGCTTTGATTGATAGATATAATTTTTTCTATACGATTTTTTTAATAAATATTTCATGAACTTTTTTTTTAATCATATATGGTGATTTACATGTAAATTATGTTTTAATGGCTTATTTTTCTGGTTTTCCATATATGTAAGATTTTAGTGCATTGACATACAATAAAACAAGTGAAAACGAAAAAAATCAAAGAAGTAGACCACAAAAACAAACAAAAAAAACACAAATGCATCGATTTGGTCCTACTGACAAGTGACCCCATTTGTTGTTCGTCCAACCAATTACAACACTTCCATTTATTCCATTCTCCTTATCAACATTTATTGTTTGATATACAGAAAACGTGATACTTATAATTCAGCTTAGTTTACAACGGTTTGGTGAACAAACTAATTAAGTGAGAATCAATCAAACAGAAAAGATGAAAGTACACGGCTACACGTATGTAATATGTATTCTATTCATTAAACTTTATAAATTTTAACCAAAACAAAATTATATTATAAAATACAATAAAAATATATATAAAAGACCCCCTCCATTTACGTCTCACATCTATACATATATCATCAAACTTCCTCACATTCCTCTCCACCAAACTCATTCTCTTCTTACTTATACAAGAAAAAAATGAGAACAATGGTAGATTTGGGAAGAGAAAGAAGCAGCAACCTACGAATCATTGATTCTCCGACGAACGTTGATTGTGCCCGTGAAGTCGGCCTCCGACGCAGAACCCTCCGTTCACTCATCGAGTGTTTAATCCCATATTGTTGCACTTACCAATCTCCTCCATCCGAGCAAAACGACACCGTCTCTATTTGTTCCTCCGAAAAAACCGGTGTACTCGTCACCACCGGAACTTTCTTCGGTCACCGCCGTGGCCACGTCAGCTTCTGCCTCCAAGACGACACTCGTCCGTCCTCTCCGCCTCTCCTCCTCCTCGAGCTAGCCGTTCCCACGGCGGCTCTCGCTCGGGAGATGGAGGAAGGATATCTCCGTATCGCTCTCCGGAGCAAAAGCAACGTCCGGTCTAATATCTTGGACGTTCCGGTTTGGTCTATGTACTGCAACGGAAGGAAAGTTGGGTTCGCGATGAGGAGAGAGATGAATGAAAACGACGTCGGGTTTCTCCGGATGATGAAGTCCGTTTCCGTTGGCGCAGGGGTGATTCCTAACGGCGAGACGTTGTATTTGAGGGCCAAGTTCGAGCGAGTCACTGGCTCGAGTGACTCGGAAGCGTTTCATATGGTAAACTCAGGGGGTAGTGATCATGGTCAGGAGCTTAGCATTTTTCTTTTCAGATCGTGAAAGTTGTGATTATGAAAAATGTAGTGTTATGATGTTAGTCTCTTATATTCTTCGGTTTGTGTGTATATTGAAACTTTTGGTTTTTTACAAATAGTGTTTACGAATATTATAAATGTTGGTTGTATATTGGCACAACGTGAAATTTTATTCCAAAATCACAATGATGTATATCGATCCTCCATCAATTAATAATTAGTCATTTATATCTTGAACACACAACCTAAGCTCTGCAAATATGGAATCCGATTTGTGTTTTGAACTAAAATTATAAACATATATTACAGTAGGTTGACATTTTTTGCCACTAAAGTTTAAAATATAATTGTACAAAAAAAATCATTTTGGTTAATTAATCGTGTGATAATAGAGTTGTATATATAAGTAACATCTTTTGTTGCTCACATGTCTGCATAAAAACTCATGGACTAAGTTACTAATTACGTACAAAAGGATAACCAATTTATAGTAGACTAGGCTAAACATATCCCGATTCTACAAATTAAATTGTATAACTAGTAAAATATACGATAACGCAAAAAATAATTACACCGTTTATGATAACGAGACTGATCAGCTATCTGCCTATCCAACTCACATTGACTTTGAAATCTAGATAATGATATACGTACACCATCGATCAACAATTATAAAATATAATTGCCTCTGAATCGTTGGTAGGGAAATGATAAAATTGGATTGGTGTGTCCCTGCTTTTGACTTATCGATCAATCTCCTACCATTTTGCATTTGTAATCTCTTCCAAAGCTGATAAATGCATATACTTAAGGGCCACTGTCCCGTGGGGAACACGCGCGTGCACGTGCGTTGAAAGAGGCTGATCAAGGCGAAAACTGAAAGCAATGTCGGACCAAACAACAACGACAGAAAAATCTGGCTTTAGCTTCGGTGTCGATTCCGGTACCGAACCAACACGGATCCCTCTTTTCCTCCTACTTTTCAGGGGTTTTGCTCTTGAGAGACTCAAATTCATTAATTTCATCTATTACCTTCTCTTTTTTCTAGCTATTCTTTTTTGACTTCCACATTAAATCTTAAATCAACTTATAATTGCGGTTCAATAATTGAATGATCTGTTTTGGAAGTTTATACGCTAATCCTCGAATTCTTCCTCTATACAGTATTTATATGAAATGATTTATTGAGCTGCATGATTTAGTTCTAGGCGTGGGAGCAAATAATTTGAGAGGCAGAGAACGGATTAGGATTCATGAATAATCATTAGAGTTGTTAATGGGAATTAGAATGTTTATAAATGCTGACATCTAAATGATGCGTCGTGGTCCAACAGGGCTGACCATTTTGCTTTTAAAATCAATATACCTATTTATAATTTTTGAAGAGGAAAAATATCTTTAGTCAAATGGTTAAAAGTTTTTTTTAAAAAGATTGGAGTTCGATACCATTTTCCAACAAAAAGTCCACTGGAATCATGTTGAATCTATTATATAAAGAGTGAGTTGAGTCTCACAAATTTGACACCTAAGCACTCATTCTTTTGACACATCATCTTTTAAATAATTATTAGATTTTTATTATTTAATAATTTTTAAAAATCTTTTCGTAAATAAACATCAATTTATTACTTAAATCATTGAATTCAGTAATAAACATATATTTATTAAGATAATTCTCCTAAAAAATATGATTCATCTTCTTTAAATTAACTAATGTATATATCCTTATATACAAGTTATTTTAGTTAGATTACTGAACTAAAAAAAAAAATAGGAGCAGTCATAAGAAGTCGAGAGAGAGAAAAAGAGAAATAAGAAAAAAAAAAGAGGAGAAAGAGTCGTGAAAGGAGGAAGGACAAGCCGTGAGTAGGAGAGGGAGAGAGAGGAGGAGATTAATGACAAAGAAGAAAAAAAAGAAACAGAGAGAGCACATAAACACGAGGAAGGAGAACAAGTGTTAGGAAATCATAATAGATGACGTCGCAGAGAAAGAATGGACCATCACCACCGCAAAGGAGAAGAATTGAGAAAGGTATATCTGTTTGTGGAAGTAAGTAAAAAAGGAATCAAAACAAATCAGAATGACTATTAGATACGAAATCAATTACTAACTCAACAGAGAATCGGCGATGACCTATAAAAGCTTTTAATTTCTTTATTTCAGTAGACATCAAAATATCCATGCGAAGGCTAAGCAGCCACTATACAATGTTCATTTGCAAGGAGACCGCCAATGGGGGTCTATATTCTATGAGTCTAATTGTGATGATGTGTAGAATATACTTGCTGGGTCAATAAGTAGCAGTGTTATTGTATAGCTTAAGAGTTCTTTAATTATAATTTACTAAAAGTTTATTTATTTGCTTATAATATAAAGTTTATGTAAATGTTTATGGATATGTATGACAGTTTGTTTAACTAATTAATGGTTAAAATAAAAAATCTACTAATCATTTTAATACATTCCATAGAAATGCTTATAACCTACTAAACAGAGGTATTTTTTTTACCATGTTCAAAAAAAGAAAGATTGTTGAAAGTTTGGCTCCAATCATGTAGGAACTAAGTGGAACACAATATAAAGAAATGAGTAGTAAAATGTTGTCGTTTAAAGAGTCTATTTGAGTGTGTGTGTGTAGTGTTTAGAAAGATTGGATTAGGATTGTGTTTTGGTGATGGCAAATGTTATCGTATAATTAGGTTTTTTAAGAAAATTACAAATCCAAAATACAAAAAGAGTCTTCAAAGTAGATTTAGAGTAATATTTTAATAATGCAACAATAATTTTTAACAATGTGAAATAAATAACAACTATATCACTGTGGTTAAGAAAGAGCTAAGAAGTTTTTATAAGAGTTGAGAGAAGTGAGCAAAACGTGATATAGTTTAAAATATATCAGTGCATTCGTGTTAAACTATAGATTTTTAGAACAATTTAATATTTTAAAAAAAATCTTTCTATTTTTAAATATGTACAACAGAAATAATAGATTTTTACACAGTATTAAGGTCACCAATTTGTTGTGAGATTTAAAAAATACATTACAAAAAAGACCTGCGTGTATACGCGGGTATTCATCTAGTCTATTATATAAAGACTCAGTTGAGTCTCACAAACTTGACACATCACCAAACATTTTTTTGACACATCAGATTAAAAAAAAATTATGAGAAAATTAAACAATTAAATTATACTAATTTCATTTTTAATTGAACACAAAAACCGAAAGAGAAGTACATATCAATTTATGGTTCATAATAAACTGCAAATTAATTTTATTTTGGAAATTGGAAAGATGGAATCTCAAACAATCTCCAATGCTTTCTAATATCGACTCAAAATTCCACAAGTCAATAGGTAAAAAATTTTATTCTTCGTCTCCTCTTTGATTTATGGGTTTTTGAAAACTATATTATATTTCTTGTATTGAATTCATTCTGGTTTTGTTTACATAGACATTGATCCATTTTCTTTGTATAAAGGCATATCCACCGATGACAATCCTACCACCGGGACAAAGGGTTGAGACTTGAAGTCTCGGGCAGAAAGCAAAATACGATTTGGCGAAGATATTAAATTTGTCTTACAAAATACATATTTTTATCATTAAAAATTAACTAACAAACAAAAAAACAGGTTGAGAAAAATAATAATGAAGATATTTTTGGTTATGTGCAAAAATAAAAAAATATTACATCTACAAAAAATAATGACTACATTTTTACGAGTTCATATGATATTCATATTACCAAATACAAAAAATTAGATTAAACTTATAAAAAAATGTCTCTTAATAAATTATATTAAAACAAAAAATTACATTTAATGACTATATTTTTACAAATTTGGATGATATTTTATATTATCAAAAATAAAAAATAGGTTAATTTTGTAGAAAAATAGAATTTTATAATGTATATTAAAACAAACAAAACACCCGCGTGTACACGCGGGTATTCATCTAGTAAAGTATAAAAGTTGTGTTTTTTGTATGTTAATATTAAAATTGAAAAGAAAATTGGAAGAGAAAATAAAAGAGTATATTAGATATAATACTACATAAAGCTAAACTTTTTCTTAAAGATGTTTGTCTACCATCATTTCTCCCAGTAAAATAACACTTCCGGTTGCGGTTATATAACTCTAATATGAAAAACTTGCAGTATTTGCAAGTACATGAGGTTTTATGTCATAGAAACACAAGCTAGTAGATAAAGCCCAAATATGAAAAATGTGCTTAAGGCTTAGGGTTGAACAGTTGAGGCCACATTGTGTTGAAATATAGATCTCGATGCTTTCTGCGTTGTCGGTAGTGGGTCACACACAGCTTGTTATGGTCTTTATAGGTGATTAAGAAAAAGGCAAAAACTCATTAGAAAATGTCATAGTGACTCTTTCCGTTTGTTAGCGACTTATTATGCTTCCATGCGTGCACACTATATTATTATTTAAACAATTGACCAGAATAGACTTTGTTTAAAATAATTGGCATGTTAAAACAAAACTTGATTTTAATAACCTGCTGGAATAGTCACTGAATTTTAGGTAGCACGTGTCACGTAGAATCGTTTCAATCATGCAAGATTATATTATGATTGCTATATGCATGTAGTAAAGTTGTTAACCTGATCATATATGTGGGTTAGTAAAGAGCCCAAATTAATCGAAGGAATGAGTGAAGAAAGATCAATAAATAGGTTAATGCTTGTTTTTGTTGCTGATTAAATTAGTTAATCACTTAAATGGTGAAAACTTGGTCATATGAAATAAATTTTAATCCCAAAAAAACCTTGTGGAAGAGTGTTTATGCTTTTATTTGCTCTTCTTTTGGGGATGTATAAATATATTGGTGACTTAATTGATTAGAGAGCTTGGGCATAAAAATGATTATTGAGCTACTTCATCCGTTTTATAAAGAGTGTCATTCTCACATTTTTCACACATATTAATAAAAAGATTAAAAGTACAATTTTGTTCATTATTAATACATTAAATCATTTGTTTTTATCTAATAAATACATTAAATTAATAGGGTTAAAACTGGAATAGTATTTAAAATTTTGCATTGAAAATATAAAACGACACTTTTTGTAAAACAAAAATAAAACCTTAAAACGACACTTTTTGTGAAACGGAGAAAGTATTTTTTAAGGTACGACTAGCATTAATTGTTTTCTGCGATGATCACTGATTGTAAATGAAACAAATTATTGTAAGCTGGCATTTAATTGATATGTTTAACACTAGTACCGTGGACGGTAACATAAGTGAGTTGTTATCAATTAAGACTTATAAACATCTTAGTTTATTTTTACATATTTTATATTAGACTATGAGATAATAAGAGTAATGAAAGAATTTTACCAAAAAAAAAAAGAGTAATGAAAGAAAAAAAAATCGAGAAAATATGCAAATGAATCTAGAAATGGGTAAATAAACAAAATTTAATTGGGTCGCCCAACGTCCCTGAGTTTCCTTGACAATATTTTATCTTCTTCACTCTTCAGTGTGTTATAGCATAAAAGTCGGTGCTACGGAAAGTCCCAAATTATTTGACTTGAAAACGAAAGCCTGTCTACCTCTATTTTCGTTGATGAATTAAATAATTTAGTTCTCAAATAAGTTTGTCGTAAAAAATTAATATCCAATAATTAAAGTATTCAGTCGTGCTTCTATCACTGTCTCTAGTCAGATAGCCTAAGATTTGTATACACATCTATATATAGATATATACAATACCTACGTATAGAGAAATCATTGTACATTCACATTCCTGATCTCAATCTATCTATATCTTTAGATGGCTAAAAATCTCAGATAGAATATCACGCTTACCCAAAATAAATAACTTTTGTATGAAGTATTACTAATTTACTGGCACATGACTACGTGTGAGAAAAGTACATATTGACATGTATGTGAAAGTCACAAATAAAAAATCAGATAGTACTAGTTAGCGAGTTGTTTTTATATGAATTCTTTATGAATAAGTATATTCTATTTTCTCCTCCTATCAAAGCCAACTTAAAAGAGAATGACCCCGATATGACTGCCTTTTGACCGTTTTTTTCCTTTATGAGTTCAAGTATAAAGTCCTAAAATCTCTAACCCATATTAATCGCAGTAATTAATAGTAGTCCAGTATATAACAAATAAATATTCGAAACGATAGGAGGATTATATACCAGTATAAAAAATTGGACAGGGTGGCATCATAATTTATGGGGACAGCTGTCGTGGTTAGGCATTTATGACCACTAACATGCAATGGCACGGATGCACATTTTAGTCACATAGATATGTATATCAATACATACTTGATAGATTCTTTTACAATTTTACTTGTTCAATATACTAACTCTTAGAATGTTCTCATTATATAAGAGATTCTTCATATACGTTGTATTAAATTTAGTTTATATTATATTCTAGTGCTCGGTTGCCATTTTAAATGTGATTTTTTTGTCTGTGATCTTCGAATTTTCACATTATAAAAGTTTTTTCTGACCTGTTCACAGTGATTAATTTATTTCGTACTACCAAAATAATGTCGATTTCTCGTATGGGCGTGATCGGAACATATTTATTGGTATCTTACGACCCCATGTCAACTCTTATGTAGTCATTTGTCCCCACTTAGTTGTTTATTAGCTCAAAGGCATTAATTGCGTCGTTTTTAATTAACTTTTTTTTTTCCTCTCGTACGGGAGTATATGTTTTTATTTCGAATAAAATACTAATTTGCAGTATTTGCTAAATAATTTAATTTACCGGCAGAAAACATTATTAAATTATCTCACCGTTCTATATATATATAAATTATAGTGCAGTCAATTCCACTAAAAGACACTACAAAGTTATAAATCTATTATAAAATGAAAATATATACAACACACTCTTGTTTAAACGATGATATAAAACCTTTAAAGTGTCCCTTGACCAAAAAAAAACTTTTCAAGTGTTCTGCACATTACACACCAAATCCGCGTATACTTTACCATTATATAACAGCATATAATTTTTCTTAGTTCAAAGGATCTTAAGTCGCATGTACATTATATTTTGTTGTAGGTATTTGAACTATAATTAATTTGTTTATTGCATTATATTTTTCCGTGGGTCTGATTTATGAGGGAAATATAGCAATAGTATTGTATAATATGATTAAAGACATGCAAACGGACGGACTATAAACAATTCTAATTACACGGCAAGAAATACAATGCCATAAATATGAAAACAGAGGACATTGACAGATATATAAATGCATTTTTTTAATAAATATAATTCAGATCTTAACGAAGTAGAAAATGGGTTCACTTCATTTGCGTCTGAATTCCAGGGAAAAAAAAATGTCGGTTTCACTTACTAATTTTCTAACTCATTTTCCCGGAAAGTTACAAATGCATATTCCTTTTCCAGGTTTTCAAGTCACAGAAACATAAGAGTCGAAGCAAAAAAAAAGGCTGGAGCTTTGGCTATTTTAGGTTCCTCGAAACATGATATTGACTTTCTGAGTAAGATAATTCTAAAGTGTGAGAAAATGATGGCTCTGATGAATTGTGCTTCTTCATCTTTCTCTTCCTCTCCTACTTCATCTTCTTCTTCTTCTTCTGCATCTTCTTCTTCTTCTTCTTCTCCGAGGTAAATAATAAAAAAGAGATTGTACTAATTTATCTTTATATTCTACAGAGAAATCAATCAATCTGCGAATCAAAGCTAAATGAAAATTTCTCTGTTCGGTTTTGCTTGTAGGAACAGAGAGAGCATGGTTCTGCAGAGTGTTGTTGATGCGTCACTTCCCAGTTTCGCTTCCGACAGCAAACTTGTACTGTTTCGAAATCATCTCAATTTTATTGCCTTTTTTTTTTTTTCTTGAAAAGGCGAAAAGTATCTCAAAATGTCTTTAAAAAACAAAAAAGAACTCTCTGCTTTTTCTTCTGGGTTTATATTGTCTGATGCAATTTTCAAGAACAAGAAAGTGAAGAAATCTCATTCTCTTCTTTATATTCTCCCTTTAATGGCAGATTTTACCACTTGAGAAGACTTTAATAACCCAAAAAAATCCCAATCTCCGCCTGATCCCAAAGGTTGGTTTAAATCTTTGATTTAATATACTTTCTTGTTATGCTAAGTCTCTTGATAATCTTAATTTTTTTTTTGACAGTCTTCAGAAGAATTGAAGAAGGAAATTGCTTCAATCGAGTCAGAGATTCTTCAAATGGAAAGATATTTATTATCTCTCTACAGAAAATCATTCGAACAGCAAATTTCTTCCTTCTCTAATCTCTCTGCAACAACAACTTTACCTCGCTCAGTGACTACTTCACCATCATCACTAACACTTTCAAACCACTTTTATCAAGCTTACGAAAAACCAATTTCGTATCCTCGGAGTTTCCACACTAGTTTAAAAGCCTTATCTTCAAGGGTAATTCTAAAACCCACCCAAGTAGACTCAACTCAAAAAGTTTTTTCTTTTACAAATCAACTGAGAGAAAAAAGTTTTTATTTTTATAAATTTTCAGGAAGGGGTTAGAGAAGTTTCTGGTAATCAGAGTCTGGGAGAGCTTCTAGGATCATCTCATTTAGTTGATGATCACAACCTTGTAAACCCGAATAAACTCTCTGAAGATATCATGAGATGCATTTCCTCTGTATATTGTACACTTTCAAGAAGCTCAACAAGAAAGAATTCCGCTTATTTCTCTGCTTCTCCGCTTTCTTCAGTATCGAATTCATCAACCATTTTCTCTTCCAAATCCAATTATGATGATAAACGGAGCCTGCATTTTGCTAGTGACGATCATTTGATGAATCACAGTCTAGATCAAGGCAATCTTTTGCCTTGTGGTGCTCTTGTAATCGAGGCTCTTAAAGTACACTTGGATGATGGTAGTTTCAGTTACGCTGCTCTTATGCTGCAAAACTTCAGGTATATTTGGATTCATGATTATTTTTTTTTCTTTTTTCTGTTTCTACATTCAAAAATTGGATTGATCTTTATTTGTGTTATATGAACAACTTGCATGTGGTGCAGATCATTGGTTCAAAGTCTTGAGAAAGTTGATCCAAGTAGAATGAAACGTGAAGAAAAGCTTGCGTTTTGGATTAACATTCACAATGCTCTTGTGATGCATGTAAGCAACCAAGCTCTTAAAATTCATCTTTTGATCTGTTTCTTTATCTTTTATTGTAATGATCTTTTCATATCGAAATCTTTCTTCTTTTGTAGGCTTACTTAGCTTATGGAACTCACAACCGCGCAAGAAACACTTCGGTTTTGAAGGTTAAATACCAGTTAGACATGTGATTTGATTACGCAACATTTATTTGATGATTATTCTAGTAAGCAAATTCTCTTTATATAAACTCAGGCAGCTTATGATGTTGGAGGCTATCGCATAAACCCATTCATCATCCAAAGCTCAATTTTAGGAATCAGACCTCATTACTCATCACCATCACCTGTATGCCATTTCATTTTTCTTTTGCTTCACTTTAACTTTCACTTTCACTTTCACTTTCACTTTCACCATGTAGTAATTAAATGCGTAACTTACATTTTGCAGTTACTCCAGACGTTGTTTTCGCCTTCAAGAAAGTCGAGAACTTGCAGTGTTAGACACATTTACGCATTGGAGTATCCCGAGGCTTTAGCTCATTTCGCCATTTCTTCAGGGGCATTCACAGATCCTACGGTAACAAATTCTAGAAACCAATTCAAGATCTTAACGACGTTTACTCGTGAATTTGGAATTAACGTTATTGATTATACTTAGGTTCGGGTCTACACCGCGGATAGAATCTTCCGGGATCTAAGACAAGCGAAGAAAGAGTTTATCAGAAGTAATGTTCGTGTTCACAAAGGGACAAAGATATTGTTGCCAAAGATTTTTCAGCATTACGTTAAAGACATGTCAATGGATTTGTCTAAGCTCATGGAATCAACAGCTGAGTGTTTACCGGAGAATGCGAGGACGATTGCTGAGAAATGTCTGAAGGAGAAGAAGATTAAGAATTTTGAGTGGTTACCGGAAAATTTGAGTTTCCGGTATGTTATCGCCGGAGAATTGGTCGGAGGAAGAAATAAGACGTGATTGTTTATTCATACAAGTTTTGTTTTTGGCCTCATAATGTGATTAAATAAGTCAGTTACAATTAGTGTTCAAGTTCAAGTTTTTGTTTTTTGAGACTCATGTAGTAAAGCAAGAGTTTTTTTTTTCAGGCGAGAGAAAATTGTAAAACTGTTTATGCACTTTGCGTAATCGTCTAATACCAGATTAAACCGAAAATTAATTTACGTTTTAAACCGTGTATCCGAAATACTTCAACAGTAAACCGATAGATCGAGGGGTATTCTAAAAAATATAAAAAGTAGATAGTTGGGCCTATGGTCAGATGGGTTATGGGCCTAATAATCATTCCATTAACCTTTACAGGGTTTAATTTGGAGTGAAACAGAATTCAGTGACCTAATTTGTATTTTGACAATAATGCAAGGGTCTGGTTGAAATTTTGCTTGCTTGGTTTGTCTCTCTGGACGCCGATGATTGTTTTCCGGTGAGAGGAAAAAAGTTAGGTTTTTTTTTTTTTTATCTTTCGGTTGAGTTGAGAGATAGAGTAAAAAAAAGAAGAAGAAATTCACATAGTTAATCAATCTGTTCGTACATCTTCTCGCATCAGATTGAAATCATTCTCTCATTATTTCGAAACCTTTGATTCTTCTTCACTCTAATCAGAGGAAGACGACGGTGGAGATGGTATTGGAGCAACTGGAAAAGTCCGTAGAGGCGAATCCAGACGACCCTTCTCTACAGTTTAAACTCGTAATTGTTTTTTCAGACGATGATTTAATTCCCATCTCCAATAGGTTCTCTTGATACATGCTCATGGAAAGTAACAATTGCAAACTTTATTTGATACAGGGTTTGTATCTGTGGGAGAATGGTGGAGACTCTGAGAAAGCGGCGGAGCGGTTTGTGTTGTCGGCGAAGTTAAACCCGGATAATGCGGCGGCGTTCAAGTATCTAGGGCATTACTACTCGCGTGTGACCCTTGATCTCAATCGAGCTGCTAAGTGTTACCAGAGAGCAGTGTTGCTAAATCCTAATGACTCTGATTCCGGAGAAGCTCTGTGCGATTTATTTGACAGACAAGGGAAAGAGATGTTGGAAATTGCGGTTTGCCGTGACGCTTCTGAAAAGTCTCCCAAGGCTTTCTGGGCATTTTGCAGATTGGGTTACATTCAGGTTGTCTGATTCTTCTCCTCCCTTTTTATGCAATCTCTCTTTTGTTTGTCTTGCTTGCTCATCATATATGGCTTTGGTTTCTATCGCAGCTTCATCAGAAGAAGTGGTCTGAAGCTGTTCAGAGCCTTCAACATGCGATTAGAGGTTATCCAACCATGTCTGACTTGTGGGAAGTAATTGTCCTTTTCTCTTTATCCTCAGTTATTATCAAATTACGTTTCATTGTTTTCACTACAACAACGAATTTGACAAGAATCTTTTTTTTTGTTTTTGTCTGTCGTTGCAGGCTCTGGGCCTGGCTTACCAGCGACTTGGAATGTTTACTGCTGCTATCAAGGTAAAAAGAGGCTGTTTCTGTTTTGTACTTTCCCGGTTTCTTGAAGTGGTTTTGGGTTTATTGCTGATTCCGTTGTGACTTTAATTCTCAATGATACAAAAGGCGTATGGCCGTGCCATTGAATTAGATGAGACCAAGATTTTTGCATTAACGGAGAGTGCAAACATCTTTTTGATGCTTGGTTCATATAGAAAGGTAACATTTGTATCCGCGTCTGTTCATAATGACTTCTTTAGAGACTTTGTTCGTATGGCTCCCGCAGTCTCATATAGCATTTATATAGGGTGTGGAGCTCTTTGAGCAAGCGCTGAAGATTTCACCTCAGAATATTGCTGTGCTCTATGGTCTTGCTTCTGGATTGCTTAGTTGGTCAAAGGAATGCATAAATTTGGGCGCATTTGGATGGGCAGCTTCGTTATTGGAGGTTAATGATACTAACCTCTTCTGATTTTGTCCTGCTCTCATCCATATTGGATATACCTAACTGCGTGAACGTAATGCAAATCCACTGTAGGATGCTCGTAAAGCTGCAAAAGTTAGCAGTGAGCTGGCCAGCAACATGTCCTGTATATGGAAATTACATGGAGATATTCAGGTAATGATGCTTGCCTTGAATTTTACGTGTCAGGTTATTTGTTATCTGGGCATCTAATGTTTGTTTTGTTTCTTGAGTAGCTTACATATGCAAGATGCTTTCCGTGGTCTGGTGGAACTGAAAACTCAGAATTCACTTTAAAGACATTCAAAGATTCAATCCTTTCTTGGAGAAGCATTTGTTACTCAGCTGCATTGTCAGCCAAATCGTCTTACCAGCGAGCTCTACACTTAGCCCCTTGGCAAGCTAATGTTTATACTGACATTGCCATAACCTGTGATCTCGTTTCAAGTTTAAGCGATGACTCTGAAACTACTAGTTCTTGGTAAGATTGTACTAAGCGTTGTTTGGCATTTTCTTATTTTTAACTTTCCCTTGTAATAGTCTACAATTCTATCAGGAAGCTACCAGAAAAGATGGCTCTGGGAGCGTTATTGCTGGAATGCGACAACTCAGAGTTCTGGGTTGCTTTGGGTTGTATGTCTGATAATAGTGCTTTGAAGCTACATGCTTTGATCCGGGCATTGCATTTGGATGTATCTTTAGCCGTTGCTTGGGCTTTTATGGGCCAGGTATTGTGCCTTCACATTTTGTCTCTCTTGCATTCTTGTTTTACCTATGTTTATGATTTCAGTTACAGTTTCCCTCATTTTGATTTTAATATTGGTTGTATGAAACAGATCTTCAGGGAGTCGGATGAAATGAAATTAGCAAAGCAGGCTTTTGATTGTGCTAGAAGCATAGATCCTACACTTGCGCTACCTTGGGCCGGCTCAGCTGATACTTACGCTAGGTAGATGCTTATTATGTGCAAAAGAATCTTCATGTTTACTAGAATTTTGCCCCACATAGAGACTAATTAACACCTCAGGGAGTCAATATCAGACGAGGCTTTTGAGAGTTGTTTACGAGCTGCACAAATATCACCGGTAAGTTCTGCTTTAACTGTGGTTTACTTACTGTGATAGTGTGATGGCTTTAATTAAGGCATGAGATCTTCTGTCCAGCTTGCGGAGTTCCAGGTTGGTTTGGCATGGCTTGCTTTGCTGCAGGGAAATATTTCATCTCCGCAGGTATGAATATATTTATTCATATATCTACACAAATTATCGGAATGAGCTTTACGTAAACCCCCATCCTGAAAGTCTGAAACTTTGTGGCAGATTTATGCTTGCATTGAGCAGGCAGTGCAGCGGTCTCCTGATTACCCAGAATCCCATAACCTCCACGGGCTAGTTTGCGAGGCAAGGCGTAATTATCATACTGCCATTGCTTCTTACAGGCAAGCACTAGCTGCAATGAGTGTTTACCCTGACAATTCAGTGAAATCGCATGCTGGAAAAATATCTATCAACTTGGCCAGGTCACTGAGCAAGGTAAAATCCCCACCCTTCCTTCTGTTGTCAACATGTTTTTTATAATGGCTATTTTTGAGATGTGATTGGTTCAAATTTAATTCAATAAGTAGTAGAAATACAATTATGCAACTATCGTACTCATTTAAAGTATGTTTGCAGGCAGGACAATTCAAAGAATCTGCTATGGAATGCGCAAATTTGAAGTCAAAAGGTTTGTACTTGCTCACCCAGTTTGAAGACAGGATTTTCTTGCAACCTGTACTAAAATTTAATTTTACTAATATCTTGCTAAATTTTTCCAAAGGTTTGCTTGATGCCGGAGGTTTGCAAATGTATGCTTACTCTTTGTGGAAGATTGGTGAGAATGATTCGGCTCTCTCAGTGATCCGTGATCTGGCTGGTAGGATTTCTACCATGGAAAAAACCTCAAGAGCCTTCCCAATCAGCTTCATCTGCAGTCTTCTTTATTGCATATCTGGGTTAGATTCTGCTATCACCAGCATCCAGAAAATGCCAAAGGATTTCTTTCAGAGTTCGAAAATCAGCTTTATAGTATCTGCCATCCATTCTCTTGATCAGAGTGATAGACTTCAGTCGATTGTTGCGAGCACTCGTAGCTATATAACATCACAAGAAGAAATAGTTGCAATGCACTATTTGATAGCACTCAGTAAATTGGTGAGCCTTTTGATCTTGGTTATCATGTCGGCCCCTTTGATTTGGTAGGCTGACTAATGTCTGAATTAAAATGACGCCACTCTGGATATTGCAGCTGAAAACTGGAGCAGGTGATTTCCTTGGATTTGAGAAAGGGATTGCCCACCTCAGAAAAGCTCTTCATATGTATCCTCATAGTAATTTGTTAAGGTGGGTGTTAATCAGTACTAGAGGTTACATAAACGCTGATCAAGCGCACTAGGTTTTAATTGTGCAATGATATGTTGTTACTGCAATCATAACTCCTAATTTATAATTTGTTGTAATTAGGAACCTGCTTGGATATATCTTGTTAGCTGGTGAAGGAACAAAAGAGGCTTGCACTGCTAGTAGATGCTGTATTATAAATGTCTCCGATTGTGCAAATAAGGAAGGTCTGAAGTCCGCATTGGAGGTCCTTGGTGGAGGATCAGTTGCTTGCAATGTAATTGGTAATACAGCTCCAAGGTTCTCATTTCCGACATGCCAATGTCAGTGTCTGAATGCTCCTGTTGTTGTTGTGGAACTGCAAAGGTATTTTAGAATTTTTCTACATCATTTTAGCAATCTCAGAATCCGAATTGATCCACTCTCAAAGTTGTCCCTGGTCCTTTTTGAAATCAGTTGTTTTCTATTACGCAGATTCTTGCATCAAGAACCTTGGAACAGCGATGTAAGATACTTGCTTATTCTGAATCTCGTGCAGAAGGCCCGTGAACAGAGATTTCCTCGCCAGCTTTGTAGTGCTATTGAGCGTCTAATCTCTGCGGCACTCTCTGATGAGACCTGTTCGAAGGAAGGCGAATATCAGAAGTTCCAGCTTCTTCTTTGTGCTTCTGAGATCAGTTTGCAGAAGGGATATATAGCAGAGTCCATTGACTATGCTCGAAAAGCTTCTTCCCTTTCGCTTCCACGCAGCTACCTATTTCTAGGACATTTGCAGCTTTGCCGTGCCTATGCAGCAAAAGGGAGCACCAGTAACATGCAAGAGGAATACAGAGCTTGTTTGGAACTCAAGACTGACTCAAATATTGGTTGGATCTGCCTGAAGCTCATAGAATCTCAGTTTGATCTGGAACCTGATGCTAACCTCTTAGAAATGAGCCTAGAAGAAAGCTCGAGACAGAAGAAGGATTCATGGAAAGAGTGGATGGCTATATACAGCTTAGCTCTTGGCTTAGTTTCCGTCGGGAAAAAAGACTTTTTCTCAGCAGAGGAGTTCCTTGCACAAGCTTGTTCGTTGGGTAATTCAGAGAGCTGTCTACTTCTCTGTCGTGGTGCTGTCTGCATGGAGCTGGCTAGACAGTCTAATGACTCTCAGTTCCTCTCACAAGCTGTAAAGAGTCTTAGCAAAGTTCAAGCGAGTTCTTTTGTTCCTTTGCCTATTGTGTATTCATTATTAGCTCAAGCACATGGAAGTCTTGGCTCTAAAGAGAAATGGGAAAAGAACCTTCGTCTTGAATGGCTCTGCTGGCCACCAGGTACTGAATGACTCTGTTCTACCTTTTTATTTTTTCACCAAACTTTCCGAAAAACTAAACATGTTTTTCGATTTGTGGACAGAGATGAGGCCTGCAGAGGTTTACTTCCAGATGCATTTACTTTCAAGACAATCAGAAGATAGACCCGAAACCGTTTCAGGGATTGAAAACTCTCAAACCCCTGAGAAATGGGTGCTTAGGGCGATTCACACTAACCCTTCTTGTACGAGATATTGGAACGTCTTGGCTAAGCTTGTTGAACATCCCATTAACTAAGAACCAAAAATTGAGATCCAATTCCAGAACAGAGAAGAGCAGAGCAGTTACGTGTTCTGTTTTTTTTTTTTTTTTTTACAAATACGTATAATGCTTTGACATGTAGTTTTTGTGATAGAAAAACACAATTTGTGATAGAGATGTACGTGTTCTTTTTTTCCTTTTTAATGAAAAACTAAGCTAGCCCTGCGCATGCACAGCTTTCTTGCTTGCGTTTATTGCTTGTAAAGCCATATTTACAGCAATCAAACAAACAAAAGAAAAACGAAACAATGATAAAGCCGCAACAACATGTCAACAATGGATGGGCTGAATATTCTTAACGCATCATAAGGACAAACTCATCAAAGCTTAAAACTCCATCAGCATTAGTATCAAAAGCTTTGATCATGAGAATGCAATCATCTATCGTTCTTGCTTCACCAAGCTTCATTAGCATCATCTTCAAGCTTCTCGGAGTAATACAGTCTTCTCCTTCAGCAATATACATTCTAAAGGCTTCCATTATCTTGATCTTCTTCTCTTCCTCTGTAAATTCATCACTCCCTTTGATTAGCTGAGCAAACTCCTCGAAATCCAACATTCCATCTCCGTCCATATCAGACAGTTTAACCGCTGCTTCGGCTTCTTCATCTGACAGTTGCTCTCCCAATGTCTTCAAGATCTTCTTAACCTCCTGCGCAGAGATTCTACCGTCTCTGTTTGCATCCATGTAAGCGAAAACATCTTCTATATCTCTGTTCTTGCTCTCGCCGTTCCTGTCTGAGGACAGTTGCTCGCAGAGTTTCATGAAAGATGAAAATAACTGACGTTGAGTATACTTCATGAGGACAAAATGTTTTTTTTTACTGGGTATGCTACAAATTCTTCTTTATCTTTTGATTGAGGAATTAGATGAGAAAATTGTCTAAAGGGTTTTTATATTTATATAGGGGTGTTTCAAGTCAAGAATAGATTAAAACTTGTTAAAAAAAAAAAAAAACTGAAACGAATCAAACGTGGGAGATTCAAGATTAGTCTTTAGATCTAGAAAAAGAATATTATTAGTCTTCAGATCTAGACGAGAACGTATTATTATTAGTCTTTAGATCTAGGAAAGGAAAGATTAGTATATTAGTTACAGGTCACATTGTCATGTTTAAAACACGCTTTTTCTTCGTTTTTAAATTTAGGAATGAGGATTAAGAAAGGGTACCACCACAAATTTGACGACTCCTATTTCTTCTAAAATATGGTGTGTGCAACGTTATACAGTCTAGGCGTACTGTTTTATGGTATACAGTAAACTATACGGTGAAAAATAAAACGGTCATATATACGATCACTACTTTTAGCTACTTAACAAATACAATAACAAGATTTTGTGTGTATTGACCCAAAAAAAAAAAAAAAACTAGATTGTGTGTTTTAAAATTTTTACTTTCCCAAAAGTAAAACAACGTAGGTTTAATAAGTTTTAGAAAAGTTTATGGTTTGTTATTTGTTTTTCATACCATTTGGTTGATATATTATTTCGTTTTGAGAGTTGAAACTTTTTTTCATTTGGCTTTTGAGTTTTAACTAGATTTAGATTATTACCTCAGTGATTATTATATACATTACTTCGTATGTTTATACGTTTTGTAAACAAAAAAATATTCACCATACAATCCCCGGCTGTAAACATACCGTATCTATGCTTACACGTTATATGTTCTCCTGTATGTCTAGCATATAACATATTTTAGGACACTTTCTAATATATACATGGATCCCTGATTCAGCCTATGGTGCTTCTCATAATCTCATTGCCATTAAAATTTAAACTGCTAGTCAAGAGAATTATTAGTCGCTAGTTTAATAGATCACTATTTTTCCGTTTCATCTATAATCTTAGCTAGTATTTTTTGTTTTAAAGCAACACAATCAATCAGAAGCAATTGTTTTTACTACTGGAAATTAAAAACAAAGTTTCCACATTTAACAATGGGAAACAATTGTTTCCACATCTGAAGTTAGAAAAACGTATATATATATAAAATATGGCTTGTTGCCGTGATCCCCTTCGAGATATATCAACTTAGAGAGACTAAAGTGTGATTCAAATGCCACATATATATCTCGAGGGGCCTTTCCTTTTCTTTACCATTTCTTCAGAACCTAAGCTTTACCATTTCTCCAACTAATTGGTCTGGTGGATTCAAAATAATAAGTCCGCCTATTGGTCAGGGACAGACATTGATTGGTTAGGAATGTGAACTTAATAGATTCCACAATTGTTACCGTTATGTGAATCTCCTGACCATGCTCAGTTTTAGTCTTGGAAAGTGTGCTTCAGGGAATATCAACACAGACATGGTCAAAACCTCAACAGAATCTAGAGATTCAATTTGAAAAATAAGACAAAGTTTCACATATGGATTAATTAAAGAACATTCGTGTTTATTGCGTCACAAGCCACTAATTATATACAACAAGGAACCATTAAAAGAAAAAAAAAAAACAACAATGGCAGCGCTTAAAAACTTAACGCATCATAAGCACAAACTCATCAAAGCTTAAAACTCCATCAGCATTGAGATCAAAAGCACTAATCATAACTCTACAATCATCAGTGGTTCTTGACTCACCAAGCTTCTTTAGCATCATCTTCAAGCTTCTCGGGGTAATACACTCTTCACCTTCTGCGATATACATTTTAAACGCTTCCTTGAGCTCAATAGTCTTATCCTCCTCTGTAGATTCATCATCTCCTTTGATTAACTGAGCAAACTCCTCATAATCCAACATCCCATCTCCGTCAGTATCAGACAATCTAACCGCTGCTTCGGCTTCTTCATCAGACAACTGCTCTCCCAATGTCGTGAAACTCTTTTGAAGCTCGTCTGCAGAAATTCTACCGTCTCTATTTGCGTCCATGTAAGCAAAAACAGCCTCTAAGTCTCTGTTCTTGTCCTCACCATTTCTGTTGTTTTGTCTCTTCTCTGCGGCAGAATCTTTCCTCTCTGGTGAGAGTTTACGGCACAGTTTCTTGAAAGATGATTGAGGTTGAGTATTCTTCATGATAGAAAACAAAAGAAGTTGCTGGTTTTTTGTTTGTTTGTTTTGTTTTGTTTTGTTTTTGAATTAGAGAGATGTGTGGAAAAAAGGTTACTATGTTTGGTTTATATATAAAGGCGTGTGTCAAGTTGTGGTGAAGGAATGGGACTTACAAAAATTGAAATAAAAAATAAAAGATGAAAGTGTCTTAGACGTGGGATATTAGTGTTTAGATATTTTTATAATGGTATTATTAGGTCTAAGTTTCTGTTTAAAACACGCTTTTTGTCTCTTGTTAGTTGGATAAACGCTAAAAAGGGTATTTTGGGAAAATAATAAGTTATGAAGACCGGCCACTTGTTTTTGACACTTGCAGCAACACGAGATTTTTTTCCGGTGGGCGCTTCGAAGCTTCACTACTTTCGTCTTATCTCCTTTTTTCTTTTAAATAATAAGAAAAGATATAAAACAATTGTTTGAGTACGTGTACGATTATAATCGGTTAAAAATGTGATTTAGATTCACGTAAGCCGAGGCACTCTTACGCATATACAGAGATAGGTGGCTATGGTTAACGAGGAGTTTCGGTTAACAAGTTTTTAATTAGAGGTTAACGGTCAATAAAACGGTCGCCGACCAGCGCATTTAAGACAATATTTTGCTCAACTTTATAATAAATCGATGCATTATTAAATCTTTAATCAAAATTAAACGCAACGCAAGCAAGTAAGCAACGTCGGCAATCTAATATCTAATTTTGGCTCATTATTAATGACCCGGTCCGACAAGCATTCTAGAAACATAAAAATCATACTTACAAGCTTCGTGTTAGTTAAAAATATAGAAGAAAATCATGAGTTCAGAAGCGGGAAAAACAAGATAATATTTACATTCACAAGTTACAATTTTTAACATCTTTAACAAATGCATTAAAACGAGTGGAAGACACTGAAAACATCAAACAGATTGCTACAATTAGATGAAAGATGGGGTCTTACAAAAAAAAGCCATGACAACTAAAATGAGCATTCACTTTCTCACCCTTGCTTGCTTATAATATAAACATCATTCAACTAAAAAAACCCATCTGTAATATATATATATATTTTATATATCTATATATACTTAAAAAACTAGATTCTTATCTCAAGAGTTAGCATCACAAGATCATATCAAACACTTTGCAACTTAGAAGACCTTAGAACAGAGCTGGCTTTGTTGGTCTTGATCAGGCTATCCTGTGTCTGTTCCCTCTGCCTTCTCTTAAGCTTCTTCCTCTTCGGTATTCGATCTCCGCATCAGAGCTTGAGAAACCAGTAGGATAGCTTCTGCTTCCTTTTACAGAGCCAACTCTTGATAATAGAGCCTCTTCATCCGCGTGGATTCGGTTTCTTGGTCTGTGATCTAAGCCACACAATATGACACAATCAGCACAATGAAACAAACAACTCATGAATAATGAAATGACTTAGCAAGATGAGTTGAGATTAATATGAAAAGACTCACCTTTGTAACCATTTAATGCCTTTGGTGAATGGAAGTCTACAACTTGTGAATCAAGATCAGCTTCTGATTTAGAGGTCGTTTGACTTAGCAAATTCGCTTCTCTTCTAAGCAGCTTCTGTCCATCGTTTGGCGAGTAAGCCGATGTGAGTAAAGACTCATCCATCACATCAGTGATCTCTACGTACTGACTAGTTGTGATGATTTCATCTGCACTAAACCCAAAGGAAGCCCTGTAAGCTTCCAACTCCTCCATGTCTTGCTTGGGACTTCTCGTCTGCCTATTCTGGCTCCCGTTTCCATATCCACTTGCAGGATACACGTCTGAATCCTTGGACACGCTTAACCTTCCACCGTTTTGAGGAACCGAAGGGTCGTGATCCAGGTAAAACTTGGCAAAAGTTGCAGGACAGAAGAAGTTTGACTCCTGCAAAGGTGTCGAGACTCCGTTTGTGTCATAACCAAATGTGTTGCCAGAATCACTCCTCGAGCATTTACCATTTTGAGGCGACAATAACCCGTCTCCTGAAGTCCGAGAGATTGGTGATCTAAGAGTGCTGGCTGGACTTCCCGGATAAAGAGAGTAAGTAGACTGAAGATCATTTGGAGCATTGTAATGACCTTTACCAGAGTTCTTGAGATCCATTGAGGAAGTCAAGAAACGAGCGTAAGGCACATCAGGTGAAGAAGGAGTAGTGAGATGTGCAAGCTCTGGAGGAGGAGTGAGAGGAGCAGTCGATGGCTCGGTGGTGAATGTAGAGAAAACAGGAGGTGAGACCAATTGGGTTTCATGAGCATATGGACCAGTGGCATACATACTCGATGAAGGACCTCCCGGTGAGTTTGCAGAGAGGGATAAGTAGCAGTTTGGTGACTGAGCGGTTGAAGGAAGAGCAGAATTGGTGAAGGAAGCGGGAGAGGATGGTGGAGCCAAAAGAGATAAATTGATTCCTCCTGTAGCTTGGTTAGTTAAGACACCAGCTTGATGAGCTCCATTAGGTTGTGTAGCTGAGACATTGCCGCCTTCGGGAATCCGAGATGCAGGTACAATACGCTTTCCGCCTTTTTGAGTCTTGAAACAAGAGAACACTCCTAGACACCCTCCCCACCGTTTCCTCTGCAAATGGAGACACACACATACACTCAGTGTAAGCTTCAAGGTTAATGCGCTAAAGGAACAAAACAAATGGAGCCTTAAACATAACTTGTAAACGAGATCTGGAAAGCAAGAAGATGATTGGAATAGGTTTGATAGTGAATCAACTGTTTCTACAAAACAATGAAATGCTGCTAATGGATCTAAAGTATGTTCTCCCAGAAAAAAAAATGGTAATTTTATAAGCTTACACGCATCGAATCTAAGATCACAAACCCTATAAAGCTTGAATTTTTCTTCGTCTAAATGAATGGCTACTAATACTATCTAAGGAAAAATGTCAACTTTTTTTTTCAGTTCTCAATTATCACTTACTGTAAAAATGATTCCAGTAACGCTAAAGCCTAAAGCTGGGCTTTACAACAACAGAATGATCAAAGGGGAGACTCAAGATAAACCCTAGAAGAACATTTGCTTCATCAAGTTAAAAGCTAGACTAGTGTGAAAACAGAGTTGAATAGTCAGATCTACGAAGCACAAACAAAAAAAAAACACGAACTTCACAGAAACAAAAAGCTTGAAAATCCGAACAATTTAGACCTGAGAGTGAGAGAAGTAAAACCCCCCCACGAACTCGAATTTCAAACGAAATGGAGAAAAAGGTAACCTGTTGCTGCTGTGGAAATCTGTGCTGCTCTGAGCCCATTAGGAGTCTGTTCGTCAGAAAATCACTGCGTTATTCTGAGTAAGGTTTCAGGTCAAAGACGTAATCATAAGGGTTTTCTCCGTTTTGTTCACAATTTCTTCCAGCTTACTGATATGATCCAGAACTTCTCAGGGGGAAAAAGTTAAAGGAAAAAGAAAAAGAAAAAAAGGTGAAAAAGATTAAAGATTTGGGAAAGACAAAGTTAATACTCCCATTTTTTTTCCACTTGAATAGGAGGGATTAAGGAAGAAATTATGAAGGAGGAGAGGATTGAAAAAAAAAAGGGGAAATTTTAGAAGGGAAGAGTAAAAATGGAAATCTGCACTGATGCAATCGGCATGAAAAGATGATCCTTACGAAGGAAAAGCATTTCTATTTTAATCAGAATGTGACTGACCAGAGAGAAAGAGAAAGATAAAACAAAACAAAAAACACACACAAAAAGCTTTAGAAAAAAAAAAGAGAAAAGAGGAAAGAGAAAAAAAAGGGAAAAAGGAAAAATCTCTGGTAATATGTTAAATCTCTTCGATTCACACTCTCTCGCCTGTTCTTTAGGCTTTGAAAAAAATAGCAAAAAAAGGAAAAGTTTATGAGTTTTACAAATTTAACTGTGCTGATATTGGAAATGTTAAGGTTTTATCAATGATCTTAGACCGGTATTAGACATCTAAAACCCTTTTTAAAACAAAAGTTGATTCCCTGAGCACGTGAAGGTGGTTTACTAATAAGGGTTAAGGAACATGTAAAAGTCAAAATTTTATTTTCTTTTAGTTTGGTCCAAAAACACGTCCAAAATCAGTGTAACTGCTAAGTCAAGCGACTATTGAAGTTAATAAATGCAATACTTATCAGGACCAACTGATCAGGACAACAAGATTAATGTGATTTATCTTGGCTTTGTTGAAAGATTTTGGCCAAAAAAGAAAATAAGAAATTGGCAATTTGGAACATTTTTATGTATATAAATTGTTCAAAATAATTCTGTTGTTTTACCTCATATATTTCTTTCGTATGCAACTTGCAAACTTCTTCTTTTGCATTATTGGTCATATTTCGGCAATTGAGGGGATTAAAATAATTTTTAAAAAGTGATTCTTTTCCCTAAATTTTTGTTTTGATCTTTATGAATTGTCTTTAGGTTTTGAGGGTTCCAATAAAGACATTAAAGCAGAGAAAAAGAGGGCCTAGTAATAGCATGGTACCTAGTTGTAGGATTTGGATCTTTTTTGGGGTCTGGATTCATATTAGTGGGACCTTATAGTTTCTCATTCTTTCCTCTTCTTCCTCTTCAAAACCCCGTAATTTTTTTTTTTACTATAATCCAGTAAATTGCTCTCTTTCTAGTTTCTAAAACTGTCCATATAACAATTTTTGTTTTTACTGCTCTAGTGAATAACTTATCCTTTATTTTAATCATTACTTATAGCTTTAAACCACATCACATGTACTTTCTTTTGTATTTTTAAACACACCTCACATGTCCTGAGTGGCTGAGTTACGCTCGTTTCTACGAAAATGAAACATTTGGCAATTGGACGTTGTTGTTAGAATTTTTGATGCCATTAAATCATATATATATGATACAAAAGATCTGTTGTGATATATCATGTATATATAATGACTGCAATCACATGGTTCAGTTGACATTTCTGTATTACTACACTATGATGTAAGGGATGCGGCATTCGCAAACTCAAAATGGGCCTTGTTCTTAAGCAACGAGGGATTTATCTGCTTTACTCCATAGGCCCAAAATGCTGTATAACTGTTGGAAAAGAATACAAGTTGTATAATATTGCACACGAAAAAAATGGAAGAATGAGAGATAGTTTTTTGTTTTTTGTTTTTAAGAACATCAGTTTTCGACGTGTAAATCGGATTTGTGTGAGCACAATTTTATACTTTAGTCTCACCGAGCTCAACGTCTTTCAAATCCATATGCTCTATTCCTTCCTTGAGTAGCTTAATCTCATCTTCGGTCATACTATTTTTCCCGTGAGGCGTTGACTTTGAGTTTCTCTGTTTCTCTAGATCAACCGCCCAGCTATATATCACCATTCCGACAACAGCTAAGACCATCCCGGCGATGTTCTTGAATGTCATCTCCGAATCAAAGAGAAGCCATCCTAGCGTAAGCACGCAGACTGTTTTCATGTGGCCTAGAACTTGGAACGATGTTGCAGAGAATCTTCCTATGCAGAGATATTGGCTTATGTTGCAGAAAACGGCCAATGCGCACGAGAGAAGAATGCAGAACTGCAAAGTGAAAGAGAGAAACGAGTATTTAGGATATTGTCTTAGGTCGAATCTTTTGAATCTTAGAGAAGATGAGAATTACTTACGATGGCACCGTAAGTCATCTTGTAAGTAGTGATGAATCTGCCACTCAAGAAATAGTCAACAAAGGGGCCAAAGATGAGGAGTGAAATTGCTTGGATTGGTGCTGTTTTGCTCAGCAATTCAAAAGATCCCACCGAGTATTTCTTCTGCAAAGAGCCTATTGACTGTAACATTAAACAAAAGGAAGAACAATCAGACAAACAAATTGACACACAATAAGTATCTAAGAACTTGCCGGAGAAAAATAAGAATGCCCTTTTCAGGATTCTAGCAAGCATCACAGAATTGAGTCTCTCAAAAGATGCATGGTCGATAACAAACATAGCTTTAGATTTTCAGATCTATTGCAGGAGAATATGTCTACTATACTGAGAGGCCTAACATATAGAATTATAGAATAGACATAAACCGAGATCAAAGAAGGCAAAAGGTTTCCTCCGGATACCACTGATCTGAGGAAATTTGAGCCAACAAGATCGAAGAAAAGTCAGATCTAACAAAAAAAACATGGTGGTGGCATTAATACTCACAATCTGCTGCAGAGAAGTGGAGAAGACGGCAGTGCATGCACAAATGAAACCTTTGGCATTAACCTTGACATCAGTCACCGTACAAATTCCAACACCAACAACCACAACCATAACAGAAGCCTTCACTTCTTTAGAGTAATGCTTGCTATGAAGAATCCATTCCAACACGCATACCACAGGAATCATACTCAGTTTCGAGATCTAGATGGAAAATCAATTGAATGAGAATCAAGACAACGATCTTTTAATCGAATACATGAAAAAGCAACAAATCCAAGAGAAATCTTACCTGATAGAAGCCAACAGAGTTGAGCATAAGACTGAAGTTCATGGCAGCAATGGAGACGTTAGCGACAATTGAGAACCATAGAAGCTCCCAGAGAGGAATATGCTTTGATGCCGATAGTCCCGTGGCGTTTGAAACCATACCAACAAGCGCAGTGAGCGCGAAGTGGAATCCCGTCAGAGTTGTCGCTGCGGAAGATAAACAATAGTAATCGTCAGGTTCATGAAAGCTTTCGCAGTAAAGAGATCCAACAAGTTAACGAGAGGGAGATAAGATCAGGGATTGCGTACCAAAGCTAAACCCGAAGCCAGAGGAAGACATGAGCTGTTTATTAGCCATGATGATTCCGACGGAGCTGATTACGTTCATAGCCCATGCGCCGACGTCGGAGACAGGCGACTGTTTCTTCTCGCTCTCCGTTTTCTCCATTTTCCGACTAAATTGGATTCGACGTTAACACAATTGAAATTGCGAGATTGGACACCGACACTATCAGATCTCGATTGGATGCAAGCGAAGACGAGATCTGAATCTCGATTCGCCTGCAGATTGGAGAATCAAACAGGGAGGAAGAAGAAAGAAGAAGATGAGATCTGGAGAAAAGTCGATTCACGCCGTTCGGCTTCTTCGTGGAAGCGGCGAAGAAAGCCAAAAAGCGCAAACACACAAATAAACAAACACGTCTCTCTCTCTCTCGAAGTTTCCTACTTATTGTGCACTGCTTCACTCGTCGTCGCTGGCTATATCACAAGCAAGCTTCCACCATTGATGCTTTTTCCTCTCACTTTGGATTGAAATTTATTTTATTCGCTCACTCAGATTTCGAAAATCATATTATATTAAGGAATGGTCATTTAATTTATAATTATTCATTGACATGTGTCGTTTACCATACGTGACCTTCTTCTTTCTTTTTTTGGTCAATCGTTGTTATTTCAAAATGAGTTCTATATAGGGATAGTTTTGTATTTCCAAATCCAGCAACTTGTAATGTCATGCTTTTAATTGATTAATCAATCAAACGTTTAGTACTTAAATTACGCCACACGGAACTGATGACAAAAGCAGACGTTTAACGGTAATTAAATAGGAGTAAGACTACTATTTATGTCAAAGTATATTTAATTTAATTGAAAAATATAAAGATGGGCAACGATTAATATTCGATTAAGACTTTTTTTTGTGGAGATATAAATTAGAATATTAAAAGCAAAATCCTGATTACAACAAAGAAAATTAAGGGAGTAGTTTTCACGATTTAATTGTCGAAAACAAAAGATCATACATAATAAATATTTTCCACCATTAGTCACAGTCACGACTCACACTCAAAGCCAAAGATTTCGAGCTAAATTATTGAGTTGTCTCTTGTTACAGCTATTCCTCCTTGCGATTGCAGTATCATATATATATATATATATATATATATATATATAATCTCACAACAAATAATCTGTTTTGCATGTATTATAAATAGTTTAGGAAAAAAAGATGGGTCTCTGCAATTTTCAAATAAGCAGATTTAAATAGACAGCTAATACATTGTGATTAGTCCTTTTTAAGTGAACAAAACCTGCAAATCTTAGCCTGTGCCTCAACGCAAATAGTAATGTGAACACATGATCTCCAATATTAACACATTATCACAAAAGGAACTTTTTTCATGTGGCTTTCATGTTTCAACATCAATCATTTTCTTATAACAAGCCTAAATTCACATTTGATCCCCTCAAAGCCAAAGAATAACAAACAAAAAAAAAAAACAAAGAATAAAAGCATTGTTTTAACAGAATGGTACACATTTGCAACAGTACAAAATAAGCAAGAAACAGCTAAAGAAAATTCCTCCGGTCTCACAAGGATCAGTATTTGCTTATCGAAGAGTGTTACTCTGCACCAATTGGCAGTGCATGCCTATAGTTGAAGTGTTGATGTTTGTCCATGTAAACGGTAAACCATACACATTATACTAAATAATGATGAAAAACAATATCAATTCTCATTCTTGAATTTTTTTTGGACAAAGTTGTTCTTGAATTTCTTAGCCATGAACTTATCTGAGGAAAGTTTTTTCTACCTCATGTACTGTAAAGAGGTAGAAATTGAATATTTTGATGAGACCTAAATAATTTATAATTATAAGACATGTATCAATTCATTTATATTCGATTGGTTTTGAGTCTGAAAGTTAATAAAACTTAGAATACACTCATCAAACAAAAAAATAAACATAAAAACCTAAGCATCCTACAAATAAACTTGGTACTAATGATTGTATGTAGCATCATCCGCTACGTTACTATAGACAGGCTTATCGCACAAACAAGCTGGGAATTAAAAAGGTTTCCAAATCTGATCCCATCAGTGGAACTCTTTCTCTCCCAAACTGTTTAAATCTGAACTTTGTTCCTAAACAATTCAGCAAAAATGGACTACACAGACTTAACGGAATAGTTGGTTTGTTAATTGTGTGATGTGATATCTTTTGTGTCTTTATGTATCAATCTCAATGCCCATTCTGTATGATGCTATCGTTCCTTCCCTCCTTTACTCCATCACTTCATTTTTTTTTGTTGTTGTTGTCGGTGGTCAAAGTTGGGTGGTTTTTGCTTTTTTTTTTTAATTGTAATCATATGAGGCCCCATTTATGTTCGGTTCTGTAACTCGAATGGATCAAAAGACGAATCCGAAATTTATTAGGCTTGGAATTGTGAATTGTGAAAGAAAAGAATGGATGGGTTATTATTGGTTACTAATGTCGTCAATGCACACGTCATGAAGATACAAGTGGATGGGGTCGATGGACCATGGATGCGTCCTCAATGACGTCCACGTCCATATACGTATATATATATATATGTGCGGATATATCCATCTTCTTCCACATTTCACGGAGACCTTCAAAGTGTTTTCGAGAGAAACAATCACAGAGAAAAAAAATCCAGTTTTTAAGCCACCATCGATCGGAATTTATGGAAATGGAAAACGCAGAAGCAAAACAGAGCATCCCTCTCCTCACGCCCTATAAGATGGGAAGATTCAATCTTTCCCACAGGTACATTACGTCCTTGCCTTATCTTTTGTGATGATTTATCCCGTCCAGGTGTTCGATGAAATTCTCAGCTGAAAAACTCTCATCACGAGCATTGATCATTTTGTTTTTAAACTGTAATATACGATAATGATTCAGGGTTGTTCTGGCACCATTGACGAGGCAGAGATCGTACGGAAACGTTCCCCAGCCTCACGCTGTCTTATATTACTCTCAGAGAGCCACGCCAGGAGGTTTTCTCATCGCTGAAGCCACCGGAGTTTCAGATACAGCTCAAGGGTAACCAATTAACTAACCTCTCTGCTCATTTTTTCATATAAAGTTTAAGTTTTTATTTGTGGGTTTTGATCTGACCCACATATCTGCGATTCTTGAAGGTATCAAGATACTCCTGGGATATGGACTAAAGAGCATGTGGAGGCATGGAAGCCAATAGTGGATGCTGTTCATGCCAAAGGAGGCATCTTCTTCTGTCAAATCTGGCATGTTGGCCGTGTTTCTAATCGAGGTTTTTGCCAATTGAAATTATCATCTTTTAAGCTAGGTGAAATTCTTTCAACAATCTTAGTGTGTAGTATTGAGTACATTTTTGTGTGTGTTTTCAGGTTTTCAGCCAAATGGGCAAGCTCCGATCTCTTGTACGGACAAGCCATTGACGCCTCAAATCCGCGCTAATGGCATCGACGAAGCCCTCTTTACCCCTCCAAGAAGGCTAAGCATCGAAGAAATCCCCAGCATTGTCAACGACTTTAGGCTTGCAGCAAGAAACGCTATGGAAGCTGGTAAGCAAATCAAAGCGTTGGAATTGAAGAAGCTTATTTCAAGACAGACTCTTATATATGTTTTCCTTGAAAACGTTGTTGTTTGCAGGCTTCGATGGAGTCGAGATTCATGGCGCTAACGGCTATCTGATAGACCAGTTCATGAAGGACACGGTGAACGATAGAACCGACGAGTATGGTGGATCATTGCAAAACCGTTGCAAATTCGCTCTAGAAATAGTCGAAGCAGTGGCCAACGAGATAGGACCAGATCGTGTTGGAATCAGGCTCTCTCCGTTCGCAGACTACATGGAATCTGGAGACACTAACCCACAAGCATTAGCGGTTCACATGGCGGAATCTCTGAACAAATATGGAATCCTCTACTGTCATGTGATCGAACCTAGAATGAAAACAGTGGGAGAAATAACAGAGTGTCCTCACACGCTAATGCCGATGAGGAAAGCCTTTCAGGGGACTTTCATCTCTGCAGGAGGCTTCACGAGGGAAGATGGGAATGAAGCCGTGGCTAAGGGACGGACCGATTTGGTGGCTTATGGTCGGTTGTTTCTGGCTAATCCTGATCTTCCTAAGAGGTTCCAAGTGGATGCTCCGCTGAATAAATACGATAGGGCAACATTTTACACTTCTGATCCTGTCGTGGGTTACACCGATTACCCTTTTCTTGAACAAACAGCTTAATAGTTGAAGATGCTAAAGTGTCTGCCTTTGGATGTGTAATAAGCATTTCCATGGTCATTGTCATTTGTTGCAATTTGGAATTATTTATTCGGTTCACAATAATTTCAACGGAATGTGTCGCAAATAACACATGATCACAAAAAAATGAGCTCTTTTATGTGCTTTCAACACCAGTCGTTTTCTTCCAACAAGCCAAATTCACAGTAAATTCACCAAAACCAAAGAAAAAAAAAATAATTTTTACATTAGCTTCAAGAACCAACTTTTTAAGAGACTGTTAGGTGTCCCAAGCTTTGAACCCGATCAAAGCCAAAACAACTAAGAACACTCAGTAACAAAACCTTGAACCCGTTCAAAGTTTAGAATAGAGTAAGAACACAAAAGCTTATACCCGATTAAGCTAAAGAACAGAACTCAAACACAGTTTCTTTTGGGAAGTTTAGACTACTTCTTTTTGTTGTTTTTCATTGATTGAATAGGGATCGTACAAGAAGCAAATTGGAGTTATCAACTCCTACAAAACAGGAAGTGGGAAACATAGGAAAAGTGGTTGATAGGTTCCTCACAAATAGAAAGACCAATACAACGTTATTTGCAACAATGAAAAGAAGATAACAAAAGGAAAAAACAAAGATTAAGTATTTGACTTAATCAAACTTGCAATTGACTCTTATCAGAGTCTGTGACTGAATCAGTGTGATTTTAAGCATAAACGTTGTAGATGGTCCTCTCCATTGTTAAAGTAGAACAAGAAGGATTAGGGGCACAAGTAGATGTTCAACAAAGAGTTCAACACCAACGTGTTCAACAACGTGTTCAAGGCCTACGTGTTCAAAAACGTGTAGGCCTACGTGTCCAACAACGTGTAGGCCTAAATGAGACAGCTCTTTCCAAGTAAGAACGTGTGACCCCCCTTCATTGGATTTTGGTGATGTAGAGGCAACATCATCGTACTCCTTTTCAATTTCGTTTAACTTTTGAGGTTCAGTTCTTGTTAGAGGATCACTCTCACTAGCTGTTTTGGCTCTCTGTATGAGAGAAAATTGAAATCCCTTAAATCAGTCACATTAGAACAAAATATGCGCTAGACCATAACAAGGGAATGAAACCAGATTTAACCTGAAAGATCCTCCCCAGAGTTTGTAACCCTCTTGCTCTTGCACGAAGCTCCTCTCTTTTGGCTTCTGGATCTTGAAGAACCTATACAATGAGAATCATAGATAGGTTTAGAAAACTTAAAGAAATTGAACCAAGATGACAGATAGAGTGAACATGAGTATTGGTTAAGCTAGACATACCAGCTGACAAACACGGGAAAGAATGGCTTCGATATCAGCAACATTGAGCTTCCACAGAGAATCAATAATCCCTTTATGGGACTGAAGGTATTCCTCAAGTTCCCCTTGGGTAAAATTTACTCCAGCACTTAGCTGTCTTATCATTTCCCTTTGCAGCTGGAGGAAAGCGAATGCTCCTAGGATGACAGTAAACAGCCAGGAAAAATAAATAAATCACAACATGTCTTGCTTGCTAAGAGAGAAGACCAGATTCGAGAAATTCAGCAAGAATTTTCTTAATTAAGTCACAAAGCCAGACCAGACCAGATTCTATAAATCACAACATGTCTTGTTTTGCAAGAACTTTCATTACTTGACCTTTTTACAAAGCCACTAACCTGTTGCAGCACTTAGCTGAGATTTGATTAAGTGACCTCTGTTCCTACACCATTCAGCAATGAATGGTACTCCGAGATAAATAGCTTCCTTCCCAAGCTCTTTTGCTGCTTGTCTTTCATATATATACCCAATTGTATTCAACAATTCCACACCATACGCTGAAGAAGATACAAATAGGAGGAGGTGAGACTCATTTTAGCACAGCGATGGTATTTAATTGAAAGATAATGCATAACACAAAGAAACAGGAAACGGTGTGTAGAATACATATATTACCTGCATTTGAGAGTCTTACCATTTCAGCTTCAGCATTACAAACAAATTCGTCTTTGTTTACCACATATTCGTTAAGGCGGTCTTTGAGAATCTGAGCAAGCTTGTCTACCCTTTCTTTCTGGACAGTCTGAACCCAAAAACAATCCACAATCTTAGCATATTTTGTACAATGAAGAATTGGCTCAAGCAGGAGAACACGTTAATTAATAATTCCAAGACCTACCCTCATTTTTTCTAGATATTTTTTGGTATCAAACCGATCTCTTTCACCGAAGAGATCAAATTTAGTCATTGACGCCATAGCAAGATGTCCTATGTATCCTTCAAAAAGTTCGCTACCAAAAAGCATTGCAAATATTGCCGCAGGATTGATTATTGTAACACTGAAAGGATGGCGAGAAAAAAAGTAAGGACCCAAAACTTTCTGCACCGAGAAAGATCCATGTCACTAGACTATACTCCACAAGAAAAAAGAGACTAACAGTGAGATCCCTGCTTTGCCACATGCATCATAAGCTTGGCGTTGCGCTGAATCACTTAGCACTTGATAGGCCTCTCCCAACACCTGAATAAGGAATCCTCTATGTTACAATACACAAGCATACCGCACAAAGTTACAATACAAAACTTTATCACCTAAATTTTGAACTTGCCTGAAAATTGTGTGCAGCTTGAGGATCATTTGGGTTTTTATCTGGATGAACTTGGCGTGCCTGTGTATAATAAACAAACAAGTCAACAATCACTATACTTGTTCACTCTAAATTTCAAACTGGAAATGGGCAGATTTTTAACAAAGTTATAACCTCACTACATAGACTAGTTCTCAAAAAACATAACTTTGTCAAAAAATTCAAGGTCTCTTCCCCGATTTATGATAACCAAAAATTGAAACCCTGAAATCAAAATCTGGAACACAGAAGAGAAAGATAAAATAAAACCTTGATATAGTAAGCTTTCTTGATCTCAGCCTCTGTAGCAGCTGGGCTAACGCCGAGCACATCGTAGTACTCCGTTTCCTTCACCATCTAATCTTCTGACCACAAATCAAAATCCTACACACCGAATCTCACAAACTCAGATCGCCGGAGATGGAAACAGCAAACTTAGACAAAGTGCTGGTCGGATCAAAGAAGAAGAAAGAAAGTCTTTTACTTTTCTTGAAGGTATTACGTTTTTGTTTGAATCGGCCAGGACAAAAAAAGGATATATATACATTCTTCTCCACGCGGTGGTTTCGTTAGCTCTCTCATTAAATTTTTCATTTTTTTACAAAGAATCATTCCAAGTCTTGATAAATCTTAGAGTTGAAGGATCCATGTCAACCAAAAAAGGAATCGATGACATATAATAAGCCACTATCATTTTATTTGGAAATTTCTTGAGAGTCTCCTTTGAGTATCCCTGCAAAAGAAAAAGAAGGACAAGAAGCATCAACTAGCAATAAACAATCAGATGAAGAACTGAAAAAGAAGCTGATCGTGTTTTTGGAAAGGAAGAAGAAGAAGAGAAAAGTCAAAGGGAGAGAAGAGTCAACGAAAAAAGTTGGGCTTCATATGTTAGCCCAAACGAATAAAAGAGGAGTTTGTGTATGTGTGTGCGCTTTGTGATGATTAAGTCTAGAATAGTAGTTAAAGTCCTAAAAGGTAAGTTGTTAGAGTCTAAGTTAGTATAGTTTGTGTAAGTTGGTCTATGTGTTAGAGTTAAGGTGCAACAATGATGAGAGTTAGGAAGAGTAGTTAGAGAGAAGTCTATATGTATGAGCAGGGCCGGCCCAAACTCCTTGTACACGTAAAGCTCAACTTCAAAATGATGCCCATCAAATAAAAAAAGAAGGCAAGTTAAAAAACTGAAAAAATAAAATGCAGACATAGGAGTTTGAACTCCAGACATTAAGGAAGCAAAAATATTGGTCAAATCACTACACTAAAAGAAAATTTGTTAAAAATGATGCCCTTAAATTTGATATATAATTTGGCGCCTAAAACCCTTGCTTCATGGGCTTTAGGTCAGGGCCGGCCCTGTGTATGGGTGTGGTAAAATGTGGCTATGTATGAAAAATACATTTGCTATGTCAACGTGCTTCTTAGCGACATTCTTTTGACTTCCCTCTTTCTTTGCGGTTGTGAATCTTGTGAGAGCAGCTTCACTTCAGCTGCTTCGGTTTTAACAGTTTCCGTGACAGGCTCCAAATGGCTCTACGTTGAGATATATTTCTCTTCAATTTTGATGGACTCGGCATTCTTAGTAGGCTGTGACAAAAGGACGGACCGATCTCGTGGCCTACGATGGATTGTTTTTGGCGAATCCTGATCTTCCTAAGAAGTTCCAAGTGGATGCTCCGCTCAATAAATACGATAGGCCAACATTTTACACTTCTGATCCTGTTGTGGGTTACACGGATTACCCTTTTCTTGAATAAAGAGCTTAGTCATTGAAGCTGCTAAGTTATGTGTAAAAAGCATTTCCATGGCCATTGTCATTTGTTGCAATTTGGATTCATTATGCAGTTCACAATCATTTCAACGGAATGTGTCGCAAATAACACATGATCACAAAAAAAAAAGAGCTCTTTCATGTGCTTTCAACACCAATCGTTTTCTTCTAACAAGACGAATTCACATTAAATTCACCAAAACCAAAGAAAAAAGAATAATTTTTACATTAACGGCACGCAACTGCAATATTATTAATTTACTAAGACTGCTGTATATACTACTATATACCAAAGGGTTTTGAGTAAGCAACAAGAACAGATACCTCCGATTCTCAATCAATCATAGCCAGTCGAAGTGTGTTTCTCTACGCCAGGTGGTGGTGCGGGTCTTGGGAAATAATAGTTGAACTGTTGCTCCCCGAGTTTTGGTTCTTCCACGTAGGGGCTTTTTGGTTCCTGTGGTTGCCCAAACGAAGAAAACAATTTATAATATGCAGTAGAGAAGAGTTAAAAGTTCCTGTATCAAGATAAATTGTTTAAGCGACTATGACTGAATCAGTGTGTTTTTAAGCATAAATGTTGTAATATGTTCTTCTCCACTGTTGAAGATGGAGAGACATGATTTTGGGGTCAAATGGAAAAATCAAAGATGAGAAAAAGGTTTTATTAGACACCTGAGAACCAGAGGTAGAGTGAGACGCTTCATTGGATTTTGGTGATGTAGAGGCAACATCATCGTATTCCTTTACATTTTCGTTTAGCTTTTGAGGTTCAGTTCTTGCTAGAGGATCACTCTCGCTAGCTGTTTTGGCTCTCTGTATGGGCAAATAGTTAACTCCTTCAAATCAGTCACATTAGAACAAACTACCATAACAAGGGAATGAAACCAGATTTAACCTGAAAGATCCTCCCCAGAGTTTTTAACCCTCTTGCTCTTGCACGAAGCTCCTCTCTTTTGGCTTCTGGATCTTGAAGAACCTATACAATGAGAATCATAGATAGGTTTAGAAAACTTAAAGAAATTGAACCAAGATGACAGATAGAGTGAACATGAGTATTGGTTAAGCTAGACAACCAGCTGACAAACACGGGAAAGAGTGGCTTCGATATCAGCAACATTGAGCTTCCACAGAGAATCAATCATCACCCTTTTATGGGACTGAAGGTATTCCTCAAGTTCCTCCTCGGTATAATTTCCTTCAGCACTTAGCTGCCTTTTCATTTCCTCCTGCAGCTGGAACAAAGCGAATGCTCCTAGGACGACAGTAAACAGCCAGGAAAAAAATAAATCACGACATGTCTTGCTTCCTTAGAGAGAAGACCAGATTCTAGAAATTCAACAAGAACTTTCTTCATTAAGTTTCTCATTTTGCAAGAACTTTCATTTCTTGACCTTTTTACAAAGCGACTAACCTGTTGCAGCAGTTAGCTGAGATTTGATGAAGTGACCTTTGTTCCTAAACCATTCAGCAATGAATGGTACTCCGAGATAAATAGCTTTCTTCCCAAGCTCTTTTGCTGCTTGTCTTACATATATATACCCAATTGTATTCAACATGTCCACACCATACGCTGAAGAAGATGCAAATAGAAAGTGGTGAGACTCATTTTAGCACAGAGATAGTATTTGATTTGAAAGATAATGCACAACAAAGAAACAGGAAACAGTGTGTAGAATACATATATTACCTGCATTTGAGAGTCTTACCATTTCAGCTTCAGCATTACAAACAAATTCGTCTTTGTTTACCACATATTCGTTAAGGCGGTCTTTGAGAATCTGAGCAAGCTTGTCTTCCCTTTCTTTCTGGACAGTCTGAACCCAAACACAATCATCTTAGCATATTTTGTACAATGAAGAATTGGCTTAAGCAGGGGAAGTTAATAATTCCAGGACTTACCCTCATTTTTTCTTGAATCTTTTTGGTATCAAACTGATCCCCTTCACTGAAGATATCAAGTGAAGCCATTGACGCCATAGCAAGCTGTCCTATGTATCCTTCAAAAAGCTCGCTACCAAAAAGCATTGCAAATATTGCCGCAGGATCGATGATTGAATCACTGAAAGGATGAAGAGAATCAAGTAAGGACCCAAAACTTTCTGCACCGAGAAGATCTATGTCACTAGACTCCACAAGAAAAAAGAGACTAACACTGAGATTCCTGCCTTGCCACATGCATCATAAGCTTGGCGTTGCGCTGAATCACTTAGCACTTGATAGGCCTCTCCCAACACCTGAATAAGGTATCCTCTATGTTACAATACACAAGCTTACCGCACAGTTAAAATACAAAACTTTATCAGCTAAGTAATCTGATTCCAACAATAGGAAATTGTTAGAGCTCTTTCAAACTTTTAAATTTTGAGCTTGCCTGAAAATTGTGTGCAGCGTGAGGATCATTCGGGTTTTTATCTGGATGAACTTGGCGTGCCTGTGTATAATAAACAAACGAGTCAAAAATCACTATACTTGTTCACTCTAAATTTCAAACTTGAATTCCGCAGATTTTTTTTCAAGCTATAACCTCACTACAAAGACAAGTTCTCAAAAAACATAACTTTGTCAAAAAATTCAAGGTCTCTTCCCTGATTTATGATAACCAAAAACACCAAATATAGAAACCCTGAAATCAAAATCTGTAGCACAGAAGAGAAACATAAAAATAAAACCTTGATGTAGTAAGCTTTCTTGATCTCAGCCTCTGTAGCAGTTGGGCTAACGCCAAGCACATCGTAGTACTCCGTTTCCTTCACCATCTAATCTTCTGATCACAAATCAAAATCCTACACCGAATCTCACTTAACTCAGATCGCCGGAGATGGAAACAGCAAACTTAGACAAGTGAACACTCCACGCGCCGGCGACGTACTTCAAATCAACCGGAGCTTTTTGCGCCTTCTATTTTTCAATTTTTACTTTCTTTAGTTCGCTTTCGCTGGTCGGTCAAAGAAGAAGAAAGAAAGTCTTTTACTTTTCTTGAAGGTGTTACATTTTTATTTGAATCGGCCCAAAAAAAGGGACATTTATATATTCTCCACGCGGTTTTTCGTCAGCCTCTGATTGGATTTTTCCTTTTTTCCATAGAATCATTCAAGTCTTGATAAATCTTAGACTTGAAGGATCGATGTCGACCAAAAAAGAAAATCGATGACATATTATAAGTCACTATCACTTTATTTGGAACTTCCATGGATTTACCGCGAAATTATGTTGAGACTGTATTGAAGGAAAAAAAAAATTCAAAACTTTTTCGACACAATTAATCATTAATCTCATAACCTTTCAGGTCAATTAGGGCCTTTCAAGCTCATTCCCACACAACAACGACCAACTCATTAATTAGCTTTCCGAGAGCTTAATCTGGTCATCATTTCTTTGGTCTTCCGCAGCTTTGTTCTTCGTTTCATGTGGTTTGATCGGAGTGCAAGCGATGTTCTTTACTACACAAGAGTAAAGATCAAACTCTGCCTTGAGTTTATTACAGCTTGCTTGTATCCACTTCTCCGCCACACTTGTTGCTACGCTGTCTTGGCTATCCCTCTCATGCTCTTCAATGGCTGGCCTTATCTCATCGTACAAGGACGAGAGCCGTGCTGCTGCTTCCTTCTTCACCTCCTGCAATATTTTGGCAAACACATCAAAATACTTGAGAGGAGTTTGAAACTGAAGCTGGCCAAATCTTGGAGCATATAGAATAAGCTTCATGGTTGTTTGATTCTATCCACAAACACCATTCTCAACAGTCAACATTGTGAGCAGAAAAACCGTTAAAAGTCTTGGAAAAAAATTCTTCACCTCGTATTTGAGAATTTCATCTTGAGCTTCTTTGCTTGCTAGTAGCTGAACCACATTTGCTATGTCAACGTGTTTCTGAGCGACATTCTTTGTCTTTCCGCTTGAAAGCGGCCTGCCTCTTTTCTTCGGAGACTTAATTTTGTAACTGTTACCGCGAACGCGTGATATAATTGCGGTTTTCTGCGATAAATCCTGTTGTGAATCTTGTGAGAGCAGCTTCATATCTTCAGCTGCTTCGGTTTTAACAGTTTCCGTGACAACATCTTCCTCCATAGGAGCTGAGTCCGATTGCTGAACAATCAGAGAAGTAGACTCCAAATGGGTCTCCGTTGAAATATCTTTCTCTTCAATTTTGATGGACTCGGCATTCTTAGAAGGCTCTGATGTAAGCTCGTCTTCTGCAGAATCATAGACTGGAATTTTATCAACTGAATATCTGGAGACAAAAGAAATGAGAGGGGTTATTGCCAGTCCATTTTTATGCCACAAGAAAATAAGTGAAGAGAAAATTACCGATCGTCACCATCCTCCCATACGTATGTATCCTCCTGAAATGGTAGAGAGGCATAAGAATAGGCAGAGACTATTTGAGGAAAAAAAAAACTATTAGGAATGATATCATAAGGACTTGCCTGAAAGCCACGAGACTTGGCTCCAAGAAATCCAGAGCAAGAGTCTGCACCACAGAGACAACGGACTTTGGCACCGCCGTACCACTCAAAATTATAGTCGTAAGCCAATTCAGTCCGGGGAGAGATACTCTCTTTTGCAAAGATTCCAACCCTAACTTCTCCAAGAACATTCCACTTCCTCGTTTCACAATTCGGTCTACTGCAAGGCAATAGAGCAAGGAAACAGTAAGGACAGTATTCTAGATTATAATCGCTTTGAAGCATCTAAGGGCCATTGTTTGTTTTTACCATGAATGATTTATAAACCTAGCAAGGCTTCCCTTCTTCGTGGCATCGATAGCCTCAGACGCATTGAGAGATATTATGTATGCATCCTTGACACCTGCCCATGTAACAAACAAGTCATACATGAACTAGAGCTTTACAACACTATATTCAATTCTCATAATCTCTGCAAAGTTTCTACTCACCATGAGTTTCATAAGTTTGAGCCCTACGCTTTGCTTCTTTCCATGATATTACTTCTCCACAGTACTCAATTATGAACTGTCCTGCCTAAAACGTAACATCACATACAACCAGAAATTTGTTCAAACATGATTGAATATTCACTTCAGAAATGATGAGAGACAACAATATATAATCTCGAGTCCTCACCTTTATCTCTTCAACAGCCACTAGTCCCCAACCACGACCTTCAGACTTAACCAACTTTGTTTTGGCGTATTCACATTTTTGGAATTTCTGTAACCGGAAAAACATGTCAAACTCACCCTCCTCTCTAACATCAAAGCATAGACTTAAACAATTTAAACAGTTTACCTGATTCTTGCAATAGACACCACAAGGGCAGTATCCAGGTGTACATTCCGTATTTGTTATCACATTCAAGCATCTCTCACCACACGCACTGTCAGGGTCTCCAAAATCGAACTTGCATTCGCAGATAGAAATATCTTCTTCCTTCTGTTTCTTGTGCCTAGAGGCAGTAAAAATGTATACTTTAACAACAATGGGGAAGATTCATTTGAGAAGATAACCAAAAGCTATGTGCCAATGCACCAGAGAAAAGGTTTCCTACTTTCGATATGAGAAGTCATTTTGATAGATGTGTTCATATTGTGGTAGCTCATCTCCCTCTTGATCCTTAAACAAAAAAAAAAGGCACATGTCTCAATTTACGTTAAGCTACAGAACCAAATCGAAATCTCACCCCATATCAAGAGTATTCATCAGGTTATTGAAAATAAATTTATCACTTACAGGATCACTAGAAAATTGCATTTTTTTTCTTTTATTTTTCACCGGAGCTTTTGAAGCGATTATTTCAATGAATCCGCACTCAGATTCAGGGCCGGTTCATGGGCGTGTGCAAATAGTGCCACTGCATACCGACTAATTACGATTCGATCCCGACTACAAAAGAAAACGAAGACAATTAGGTTTGAAGATCGACACAAAACTTGGAAAAAAGGGAGAAACTTGCGTGTAGAAAGAAAACCAACAAGAAACCTATTTGATTTACACTATTGAGTATTGCCATTGGTCTAAGAGGAAACCTGAAGAAGCATACCTGAGGAATTGGGAGAGAGAACGCGACGACGAGCGAGGAAGAAGACGGCGTTAAACTTTTTTTCTTTTCTTTTTTCACAACACGGAGTAAAGTAGTATTTTCACGGCGTGAAAGCTTTTTCTTTTTTTGATAAAGGCACGGCGTCAAAATTAGTAAGAGATTTGTTAAGAAAAGAATGTTAGCAACAAAAAATGATCAAAATTGGAAGAAAAAAAACTATACAAGCTTCACCTACGAAATGATTAAAATTGCGATACTGCGTAAAATCTATAACTGGTACTACAATTAAATCCTCAGAAGCTAAACTCATCTGTTTTTATATAATCAGATATTTTCTATTTTTATAAACTATCTTGTAAAAACTCCTTTAACCTACCTACTGATTAATAGGTTTATTAATACTTCTACACCAAAAACATTTTGGGTTCGAATCCGTTTAGCGTGTTTACAGGTGTTTTTTAATTTAAATTAGATTCAAATATATTTATATTAGTTTGTGTTTTATGAGATCTATTTGAACAAATGATTAACAATAGATTTTGAACCATAAAAATATATATATTATACACACATCTGCAAGTAATAAATAGATTATTTTCTATTTTTTCTTTTCTTTTTAACTTCAGCTAGATTCAAATATATTTTATTTATATTAGGTTGTGTTATATAATTCTTGTAGATACATATATACATTATAAATTTTTAATTAAATTATTTAGAAAAGTTCCATTCTATGTAATATTATATCTACATAAACATATGATTAACAACAGATTCTGAACCAAAAAAACACTAGATTTATACGAGCGCATGTCACCATCTATTTAATACTACCAGATATACATTAAACACATATGTCATGATCTGATTAATATTAATCATGTCAAGATTTACTTATATAATACCTGCAACTTTTGTTTTACAAAATAACAAGATCATAAACAGTTAAACACACAAGACACACACACAAAAAAAAAAAAGAATGAAAGATTGTTGGAGAGCAGAAATAAGTAAGGGAATATGAGTTATCCGATAGCGATTGGGATAGCCATCGCCACCACCCTGCTGGCTATTTTGATATGGTTTCTCCTCTCAAAGATAAGTCTGGTAAAGTCGTAACAACTGTTATGGATTTACTTAATCAGCTTAGTTTCTTCTCTGATAATTGTAATTCAAGAGAATTCATTTATATTTGCAATAAGAGTTCGTGAAAGTTAAATGTTATAATGTATAAACAATAAATATGTATGACTGTTGTTAATGGAAGCCGTTATCTAGTTATTGCTTCAATTTGGTCTACTGTAACTGTAAGGCAATAGAGAAAGAAAACAGTAATTAAGGACAGTATTCTAGCTATGGATTGCTTTGAAGCATCTAAAGGCCATTGTTTGTTTTTACCATGAATGATTTATAAACCTAGCAAGGCTTCCCTGCTTCGTGGCATCGATATAGCCTTATGTATGCATCCTTGACACCTGCCCATGTAACAAGTCATACATGAACTAGAGCTTTACAACACTATCAATTCTCATAATCTCTGCAAAGTTTCTACTCACCATGAGTTTCATAAGTTTGAGTCCTACGTTTTGCTTTCCATGATATTACTTCTCCACAATACTCAATTATGAACTGTCCTGCCTACATCGTAACATCAAATACAACCAGCAATTTGTTCAAACCAGATTGGATATTTACTTCACAAATGATGAGTGAGACATTACAATAAATAAGCTTGAGTCCTTAGTCCTAACCTTTATGTCTTCAACAGCCAGTACTAGTCCCTAACCACGACCTTTAGACTTAACTTTGTTTTGGCGTATTCACATTTTTGGAATTTCTTTAACCGGAAAAAACATGTCAAACTACTAAGTAACAGTACGACCACCCTCCTCTCTAACATCAAAGCATAGATTTATTACACGGCGTGAAAAGTTTTTTTTTTTATTTGATAAAGACACGGCGTGAAAGTTAGTAAGAGATTTGTTCAGAAAATGATGATAGCAAAAAAAAAAAAAAAATGATCAACATTAGAAAAAAAACTTTATAAGCTAAATAAGTAGTTTTATATTGGTAAAAATGATTAAATTGCGATACTGCGTAAAATCTAACATGTACTAAATACAACTAAATTCTCACTAGCTAAACACATCTGTTTTTATAAAAGCAGATACTTTCAACTATAAATAGATTATTTTTCTGTTTTTTCTTTTTAACTTAAATTAGATACAAATATATTTACATTAGTTAGTGTTTTATTAATTATTAGATCAACTTAAACATATGATTAACAACAGATTTTGAACAAAAAAACACTAAATTTATACGAGCGCATGTCACGAACTATTCAATACTACCAGATATACTTTAAACACACATGTCAGTAATCATGTCAAGATTTACTTATATAATACCTGCAAGTTTTGTTTTAAAAAATAACAAGATCATAAATACACAAGATACACACAAAAAACAGAAGAAGGAAAGAGCAGAATAAGTAAGGGAATATGGGTTATCCGATGGCAATTGGGATAGGCCTCGCCTCTGGGGCGTTAATAACCCTGCTGGCTCGTGGGGTATGGTTTCTCCTCAAAAAGCTTAAGGTGGTAAAATCGTAGCTGTTATGGAATTTACTTAATCAAGATTAATTAATTAATTTTCGCAATAAGAGTTCGTGAAAGTTAAATCTTATAATGTATAAACAAGAATTATGTATCATTGTTGTTACATATACATAATGAAAGCCATTATTTAGTTCCTACTCTTACAGATAGACCACGTAATGAAAAAGGGTCTAATCCACTACATTTTTTCACTACTCAAATACATCGTATACACATCTTTAGTTGTCTCGTATAAAACAGTAACCGAAAAGAACAAGTAAAACCAGTATCAAGCCAAAAACCAATTGGCCAAAACTAGAAGCTACCGGCGTTTGCGCTCAGCAGTGGGAGGTAATTTCTCGGATGGTCCGGTTGGAAGTTTACGGCCAGTTTTCTTTTCCAACCGTTTCTTTAGCTCTCTCAGTATCCTAATTTGTTGCAGCTTCTCCGGCGACAATTTGTCCCAATAGATTCCTGCCAAGAAAAAGAAAAACGATCAGACTTCATGGACTATAGCCAATCACTGAATCAGGCAAATAACTGCATTCGAAATCTTGAATTTAATAAGAAAATCAAAGACCTTTTGGTTTCGGGATTGGTGTATTAGTGAAAATGACTCGAGTAGGAGTGCATATGATATCCACAGGAACATCGTGAATCGCAAGTTTCTCGAGGGGTATATCATCCACGAGCTGACAGTCATGTACTACAAAAGATGAAAAAGCTCCATGAAGATGAAAAAATAAATACAAGAGAAAGTTTAACAGAGTTGTTCTTAAGTTATAAACATAATACCAGTTGTTACAACGGGTGTGGAATCATCAATGGCTCCCATGTAACGCAACATTCCATATTCAAGCTCCGCAAAACCCTGAACACACGTATCGTAATGCTTGGTTCAATTGAAAATTTCCTTTTAACTTTAATAGAAGTTGAGCTGTAACGCTTACCTCTCCTTTCCCTAATCGAGCACCTGTTTGTGGATTAACCGCAACAGAGCCAATGACAATGAGATCCACTTTGATCTTCTCATCGAGACCAATCGCTCTTCCATACTTGGCTACTCCTACAGAGGTGCAAGCTTCTATGATCGTTTCTGGTTTCAACAAATCGGATTCTAGTACAGAGAAGAACCCTGTTCTTAGCCTAGGTTGAGGAGTCAACAGCTTTTTATCACCTACAATTTCAGAACACAAAAACCTGATTCATGGAGTAGACTATAGCTCTTACATTGTAACACTATAAAGTATGAAAATTTAATCCTAAGATAATCTCCAAATTCTGAAGAATTTGCTGCTCAGACATTGATGTATTAACTAACCAGAAAGTGTAAGAAACCTGATTTGCTTTTGCGGCGAATCAGGATTAACCTTCACGACCTCAGCATTACTAAAAGCTTCAAGCTCGGCCAACTGCAGCAAGGATTCAAATTTGATAATTTTAACATCCGTCAAATAAAAAACCCAGAATTTGATTAAAGGGTTTTTGAATTCGCGCACTTTACCGGCAGCAGCCGACGCACCGACGAAATTAGGGATTCGATGATGAACGGGTCTAGGGTTCATGGAGTAGTTCCGGGCTTCCATCAGATCCCACATGCTCTTTCGGATCACCCATTTCCAAGCTTTCGGATCACTATCCGGATCCGATTCGAGTTCCTTCTTCGCCGTCTCCGCCATATCCTCCATCGCAACCGCGTCGAGGCTCAGCCGCTCAGACTCATAAGCTACAGCATCGAAAGCGTCGCCGTCGCCGCTCTCCGATCCGATTCTGGAAAAATTCCTCCGCCGTGGCCCGATTTGGGCGGGTAGAAAAGTCGGTTTCTGGGAAATGACGAATGGATTGAATTGAAAACGAGGATTAATTGCAAATCCGGGTGATAATCGCATCATTGTTGGATAGTCCAATAAAACACCCAATTCCAATTTTTTGGTTTTCGAAAAGTCTCAGTGTTCTTGGTGAAGATAAGAAATCAACGGCTTAGATCATTTCCCGCTGAAAATATATGGTCTATCTACCCAATTTCAATTTTCAAATTTCCCTTTTATTGAATTTATTAAAAAAATATTCAAAAATTAAAAGAGTAATGGGCCTTTTGGCGGCCTAAATCGGCCAGGAACGGTGGTTCGTCTTCCTCTATTCGCTTCCACGATCAATTTTCGATGACCACCCAGATCCGTTAACGTCACACGTACACGCGTCACCATCTTTACATCGGACGGATTAAAAAGCGAGTACATATCACGTAAGTAGAGCGCGCGTAGTTCTAACTCTTACCTGTTGCGTTATACTCGCGTATTTACGAGAGCGGGGTTGGCAAAATTCGAATTTAGAAACATTTATCCCACAAAATACATTCCCGATACAAAATTCAGAGACGCTTATCATTGTCTTTAAATTTCTATTCAATCTCTCAACTATTCTAACGATTCAGTATATAATCCTTCACTTTGTGGTGTTAGTAATTTCTGGGGAAAGAAGAATTTCAAAATTGTTTTGTTCGTTGGAGATGGATTTTCGTGGAATGAAGAGGAAAGATCTACAAGCTCTATGCAAGAAACATGGAATCCCTGCAAATTTGAAGAATATTGAGATGGCTAATCGACTCGCTTCTGTTTTCGAGGTGATTGCAATGATCTTTATACATTTTTTTTTTGCGGTTCTCATAATTTGGGAATGTAGAAGCGAAAGTCGAAGAGAGAATGATTTTGGTTTTGATCATTTGTTTTTGTGTGTGTTTTACGTAGAAGGAAACTGAAGAAATTGTATCGGAAACGACGATTTCGCCTGATGGTATCAAGGAGAATCAAGCTGTTGGCAAAAAGGCTAAGAAAGTAACATTCAGTCCTGAGAGTGAGAATCAAGTTTTCGAATTCAGTCGTTCTGTTAAGAAACTCAAGCAGAAAAATGTCAGCCAAGGGACTGCTCAAGATCTTCAACAAGGTGGAATTATCCTAAGGCGGTCCACGCGGCTCGCAGCTAAATCCAAGACAGGAACTTTAGTACCTGCTAAGCGTCTAAATCGTTCAAAGCGAACTGCAGATCATAAGTTGGGTCAAGCAATGAGTAATTCACCCAAGAGATGTTCAGATATTGAATCTGCACAAGATGGAGCCTTTGTTCAGTTTGATCAAGAAGAAGCAGGTGGTGCTAATGTGGAAGAAGAAGGACGCTCTTCCAAGAAAAGGAAGAGAGTGAGTCAAGAATCTGAAAAAGAGAATCTACAAGGAGTGTTTGAAGACTCACCTTCTACATCCGAAACCAAAGCTGCAGAACCCGTTATATTTGCTGAGAATGTTTTGGGTTCTACACCAAAAGTTGATAGAAACACTAGAGAGCTGAATTCTGAACTTATTGAAGAAGAACGTGAAGAGAAACAGGAGCAAGACACAGTTCTGATGGCGTCTGAAGAGAAACAGGAGCAAGACACAGTTCTGATGGCGTCTGAAGAGAAACAGGAGCAAGAGTTCGATGATGAGTGTACTTCTCCCAATATTCCAGAAAGACATTCCTTTTCTGAGGAGTCTGAATTAGAAGAAGCGGCAAAAAGTGAAGAAAAGAAGGCTGTGGTATTGCAAGTTGACTGTGACATTTTCACTAGTGCCGAGAAACACTTCCTGCTTGCAACAGATGAAGGGATGAAAGGTGACAATATAACTGCTAGCTCTCATGATTTGTCTGATGATCTCACTGATTCTGAGAGCCACTCTCTTATGGGAGACAGTGTGGTTCAAGAAAATCATGTTGCTACTCGGGATTTCAGAGAAAACACCATTGCTGATTGCGGTATCGCATCTCAAGTTTCTTACAGCCATGAGTTAAACTCCGGGGAAAAAACTGCAGGTGTAGAGTTTATACCAAAAAGTTCTCAGACAACAAAGGTTGTCGAGTCTCCACATGTTGATTCAGTGAATCTTGTTGATCTTGACATCGAGGGGGCAGAAACAATCATAGATGCAGAAAGAAAAATTGATATTCTTGCCTTACCAGCGAAAGGTAATTCCGAGACAACTGGTAAAATTTCCAGCCAATTTGAAGTTGTTGAAACCTGTTAAAATAGTCTAAATCATATGGCGTAACCATAAGTTATTCTGTTGTTTCTTTCTTTATTCTTGAAACGCAGAAGAATCTACCCTTTCCACAAACATTCGGAATCAGATGAACGATGCATCGGAGGAATTGGCAACAACAGGTGATTAGCACATTAACATTCTTATTTTTAACATCGTACACCTTCTTCCTGGAGGCATGCATATATAGTTAAGTAATTTACAATCATTTGTAGACAATAATAAAGCAGACGGGCTCATAAAAGCAAAGGTAATGAAGAATTCTCAAAGTGGCTACAAGGAAAATCTCCAGTTGGACTCTTCAGGTGGCCCTTCGGTTTTTGGGAAGACATGCGTCTTAAGTGAAACGGAGGATGAGCAAAGTGGTCGCACAATTCTGGAATATGAAGCTACTGGTCTTGTAGCTACTCCCTTTGGTAAATTTCTTCTCATCTAAGCAATATTGACTATATTATAATAGTGTTCACTAATTGCTGATTTTACTCAATACTCTCACAGAGAAAGGCACCTCTCTGACTCCTAATGAATTCATTGTTCAGGATTACATAAACGAAGAAGGTTAGATTCTTACATATCTTGTGTTTCTTAGATTCAGCAAAACACTGAAAAATACAAATGTTGTAGGTCTAGATGCTACACAACGGACATCAAAGCAAATCAGAGGGCATTTCCCACATGTGAACTCAGTTAATCTATTCGATTTTGACACTGAGGTGACAGAGACAACTGTGGAAACAGAAAGAAATGTTCCTCTCAGCTCCTGTGTACTTCCCTTACCAGCTGAAGGTGATTTCGAGACAACTAGTGAAATTTCAAGCAACCTTGAAGTTGCTGGAACCAGTTCCATGGTGTCAAGTGAGCAAAGTTTCTTAAGATTATGATGGAGTTAATATATAGTCTAAATCATATGGCGTAATCATAAGTTTCTCTTCTGTTTTTGAAAATTATTATGCGTATGTCATTCTATCAGTTGAGTTTAAATGTTCTTATCTCTTTCTTCATCCCTGAAACGCAGAAGCAGGTGGTGATAATGTTGAAGAAGAAGGAGGCTCTTCCAAGAAAAGGAAGACTGTGAGTCAAGAATTTGAATTAGAGAATCCACAAGGAATGGCTGAGGACTCACCTTCTACATCCGAAACCAAAGCTGCAGAACCCGTCATATTTTCTGAGAATGTTTTGGATTCTACTCCAAAAGTTTCAGTTGATAGAAACACTAATGAGTTGAATTCTGAACTTATGATAGAAGAACGTGAAGAGAAACAGGAGCAAGACACAGTTCTGATGGCGTATGGTGACTCTGAAAAGACTGCCGAAAAAGTGGCTGCAGAGTTCCATGATGAGTCTGCTTCTACCAATATCCCAGAAAGACATCCCTTTCCGGAAGAGTCTGAATTAGAAGAAGCGGCAAAAAGTGAAGAAAAGAAGGTTGTGGTATTGCAAGCTGACTGTGACATTTTCATCACTGTTCCGGAGAAACACTTCCTGCTTGCAATTGATGAAGGGATGAAAGGTGAAAATATAACTGCTAGGTCTCATGATTTGCCTGATGTTCTCACTGATTCTGCGGACCAATCTCTTATGGGAGACATTGAGCTAGCTGAAAGCAAGGATGTGGAATTGTTGGCTGTATCTAACATTTCCACTAACCTGGAGAGACATTTGCTATCTGGGGACTCTGGACTAGACGGAAGAAGAACGATAATAGATAGTACAACAGCCACTTGCAAAACGTCATTTGTTTTTGTTCCTCCAGAGAGAACCCAGCTTCTTGAAAAGTCTGAACCACACACTGCTGGAAAGCATGAACGAAAGGAAGTGGAGTTCAAGGAAGAGTCTGGACAGGACCGATTTGGTAATAGTAAGTCCGGCTCAAGCGAGTATCAAAGCCATCATGTTTCTTCTCTCAAAGTTATGTTGAAGGACGATAATGTGGTTCAGGAAAGTCACGTTGCTGCTCGGGATTTTAGAGAAAACACCATTGCTGATTCAAGTGGTAGTATCGAATCCCCAGTTTTTGACAGCCATGAGTTAAACTCCGGGGAAAAAACTGCAGGTGCAGAGTTTAAACCAACAAGTTCTCAGGCAAAGAAGGTTGTAGAATCTCCACGTGTTGACTCAGTGAATCTTTTTGAATTTCACATTGAGGGAGCAGAAACAATCATGGATGCAGAAAGAAATTTTGATATTCTTGCCGTACCAGCCAAAGGTAATTCCGAAACAACTGGTAAACTTTCCAGCTTTGAAGTTGCGGAAACCTTTTAATATAGTCTAAATTATATGGCGCAATCATAAGTTTTTCTGTTGTCTCTTTCTTTATTCCTGAAACGCAGAAGAATCTAGCCCTTCCACAAACATTCAGAATCAGATGAACGATGCATCAGAGGAGTTGGCAATAACAGGTGATTAGCACATTAACTTTCTTATTTTCAACATTGTACACGTTGTTCCTGGAAGCATGCATTTCAAGTAATTTACAATCATTTGTAGATAATAATAAAGCAGACGAGCTCATAAAAGCAAAGGTAATGAAGAATTCTGAAAGTGGCTACAAGGAAATTCTCCAGTTGGACTCTTCAGGTGGCCCTTCGGTTTTTGGAAAGACATGCGTCTTCAGTGAAACGGAGGATGAGCAAAGTGGTCGCAAACTTCTGGAATATGAAGCTACTGGTCTTGTAGCTACTCCCTTTGGTATATTTCTTTTCATCTAAGCAATATTAACTATATTATAATAGTGCTCACTAATTGCTGATTTTACTCAGTTACTCTCACAGTGAAAGGCACCTCTCTGACTCCTAATGAATTCATTGTTCAGGATAACATAAACGAAGAAGGTTAGATTCTTACAGATCTGTGTTTCTTAGATTCAGCAAAACACTGAAAAATACAAATGTTGTAGGTCTAGATGCCACACAAGGGACATTAAAGCAAATCAGAGGGCATTTCCCACATGTGAACTCAGTTAATCTATTTGATTTTGACACTGAGGGGACAGAGACAACTATGGAAACAGAAAGAAACGTTCCTCTCAGCTCCTGTGTACTTCCCTTACCAGCTGAAGGTGATTTCGAGACAACTAGTGAAATTTCAAGCAACCTTGAAGTTGCTGGAACCAGTTCCATGGTGTCAAGTGAGCAAAGTTTCTTAAGATTATGATGGAGTTAATTTATAGTCTAAATCATATGGCGTAATCATAAGTTTTTCTTCTGTTTTTTGAAAATTATTATGCGTATGTCATTCTCTCTGTTGAGTTTAAATGTTCTTATCTCTTTCTTCATCCCTGAAACGCAGAAGAATCTGCCCCTTCCACAGACACTCAGACCCAGATAAATGATGCACTGGAGGAAATGGCAATAGCAGGTGAGTACAACTTTAACACTTAATTTTTCAACATCACAACGTTTGTTCCTTAAGAGACATACACAAGTGCAAGATAGTTCATTTATTCCCAATCATTTATTTGTAGACCATAATGAAGCAGACGAGCTCATAGAAGCAAAAGTAACGAAGAACTTGGACTCTTCAGGTGGCTCTTCTGTATCTGAGATGACATGCGTCTTAGGTGGAACAGAGCATGAGCAATTGGGTTATAATTCTGAAGTAGATTTTAAAAACACATCTGAGAAAAGCGGTCACAAATTTCTTAAAGATGAAGCAACTGATCCAATTTCTACTGGTAAATTTATTTTCTACATCTAAGAAATTTCCAGGCGTTCATTACTACTAATTTGGATACTCTTAAATTAATTACTGCTTCTATTTAATCCATTCTCGCAGAGAAAGACATTCCCCTGGGCCCTGATGAATCCACTGTTCATAACAGCAGAAACGAGGAAGGTTAGATTTCTAGCAGATATCATGTCTCATAGATTCAACAAAGGTTAGCAAACTAGCTAAACAGTGACTAATCTCTAGTAGAATCACTTAACTTTCTTTGAAATAGCAGCGGAAGAAGAAATGATTAAGAGAGAAACCACTCCAAGTCTTGAAGAAACCCGGAATGAGTCATCTGAAAACAGGAAGGATTATTTGAACATTGGTGAGTCAGGTGCGTTATCTGAGAAGCAAGCAAGAAGAGAACCAATGTTGATTTACAGAACACAAGTGAAGCCTAAAATGCAAGACATGAAAGAGAACGCACCAAACTCAAAGATTGTGGATAATCTGAACGTAACAGCTCCAAGGACATCAAAGAGACAGCCGCTCCAAGACTTGAGGAAGAACTAGAAGACTAATTTGCATATCTCATGCACGTTTTAGAGATTTGTCTAAAATTTTCCTTGTTTGCTAATAATTTAGTTTCTGACTGTATTATGTGTTTGGCAAACCTATCTTGCGTTAGCTCTACGACTAAGTCTATAAACCTTTCAAATTTTTATTTTGGCTGTCTTCAAATAGTTTAAGACCCTTTTGATTTCTTGTGCTGCAAGAGGTACCAATAGACATATACATGTTATGTACACATTCATACTTGGACGTTTACAGACTTAGCTTGAAAGATTTTGACGGAAATGATAATCTGGTGCGCTTAAATTGAATCAAGTGAGCTCCAGGTGCGGTCTAAATTAAATTCAATATCATTATGTGGTAAGCCTTTCTCATTGTGGTCCTAATTCGGTCCATTAGGCCCTAAACTAACCCAATACGTATGCTCGCTTATTAACGATAGTAAAATGTTCGTACCATTTATAACGCAGATTGAATTACAATAATTATACGCCACTAAGCACTAGTTGATGTATCTCATAAAGATGTGTCTAATGAGTTTCCCTCGTAATTACTTTAGCCCTTTCACTACACCATTTACTTGTAACAGTCATTGCCCAAGTGTCTCTATATAAACTCTCTAAGGTTGACATTCACTTCTCATCACAAACACAATCAAATCAACCAGACTCGCTTCCTAATCTTTACCTCCTTTATCATTCTGCAGAGAAATGGCTAACCAATCCAGTTTCATTGTTACTTTCACAATGACGCTCATGCTCATGGTGGCTTCTTCCACAGTGACAGCTCGACCTCTCGTGAAACCAACCGTGGGTGCACCTTCTCCTTCCTCAAGCCTTGTGTACCGGCTCAGGCTTGATGAAGACACAGGTTACTGCTGGGACTCACTGATGCAGCTCCAACACTGCTCTGGAGAGCTCATCATGTTCTTCCTCAACGGTGAGACTTACATTGGCCCTGGCTGTTGCGGTGCTATAAGAACCGTTGGAAGCAAGTGTTGGCCTACTATGATTGGTGTTCTTGGTTTCACTGCTCAAGAAGGTGACATGCTCCAAGGTTACTGTGATGACCATGACTCTGACAACGATGGTGATGACCATGACGCAGACAACCATGCTTTTGCCTCCTCACCACTGCCTCTGTCCGTGAAATTCAAGCCTGCAACTGTTGTTAGATCTTCTAACCCTTGAATCGCAGGATTCAGCGCCTATGTTTGCTTTTGCTAAGAGAAATTTTCTATCTAATGTAATTTGGGAGGGATGCTGAGAAATAGCTTCTCTTTTATTACTTGAGAATAAAAGATCTTTCACTCACAACCAAATTTTGAAAATCTGGCAAACATAATCTTCTTTTCATCTCAAATCCAGACACACTATTCTCTTGTTAATCAATGACAAATCACTGGAAAAACGTGGCTAACCCTAAGCCCTTACCAGGTCAAGGGTAGTAGAAAAACATACCAATAATAAAAAGAAAACATGATCCATAACTAAGGCTTCACTTTCAGAGAATCCTCAATTCGTTGGATGAGTTGTTTTGCTGCCAAAGCACCCTCCTGGTAAGTCATATGGAAAGAAAAAAAAAAGTTTGTGAGTGAGATAAAGAACCTAATGAGTAAAAACCAAAGGAGATTCAAACACAAGGAACTCATCATACAAAGCGATCACAAGGCTCCCCATCTTTGAAAAGAATAAATGTAGGGAGTGCCTCTATCTTGTATTTATTAGCAATACTCGGGTACTTCTCGGTATCGATCTTCACCACCTGAATCTTGTCTTTCATGGTTGCACTAACTTCACTGAGTATTGGAACCATGAACTGGCAAGGGCCGCACCTGCCAAACAAACATCACATTCTGGTTCAATCGCTTTCCAGTAGTTAAGCTCGAATCCACTCATCTGTAATACGAATAAACTCAATATGCAAACTGACTACACTGCATCCCAAAATACACCACTCGTATACAAAGCACTATATACTCATTTCATGGTTAATTTGAAAGTCCATGCCTCCTGACACCAAATTTCGAAATGTACAGAGAAAGACAGACTCACCATGTCGCATAAAAGTCAACCAGAACTGGCTTATCAGAGTTCACAAGCAGATCATCGAACGAGTTGTATGTCTGCTTCTTCGCTTCAATCTGAATTGTAATAACGACAAATTTTATCAGCTAGGAACTAAAATTGGATAATTTTCACCATATCTATAGCTCTAAGACCCCTGAGACAATCACGGGACAGTTTCACGCATCATTTAGCGGAGTAACGATTCTAAAAGCCTTAAATATTTCGATCAACACACAGAACCTAAACCTTAACAAAAATTTAGCTAATTTTGGAAGCAATGGAATACAAGTTTAAGCACAGAAGAAGGTTTACAGGGCGAGGAGTGGATCGAGTCGTTGAAGATAATGAGAAATACTTCAAGTCTCCGGTTCGAACCGGACGAAGTGGAAACTGAAATTTTACGGGCGAGATAGAACGCGAAGCGAAAGCAGAAGAAACATTAGACGATTCTTTCGAACTCAGCGAGGGAATCGTAGACGACCTAAGAGAAATGGTCGCCATTGAAGAATCAGAAAAACGATCTTTTTGATTATGACCAAGGGAAAGTCGCTATTTGAGTTTGACCAAAAAAAGACTTTGAAGGGAAAATGACAGATAATTATCCACTACGGACGGGTGCAGGGTGCTTTTTATTTTTTAATTAATGAATATGGGCCTACATAAAACACGAACTCATATATGTCAAATTGGGCTCTGACCGGTGGGTTCAGCCCAAATAGAATCCGGTGTAAGCTTGGACTCCATAAAATTTGTCCAAATAAAATGCGGGTTTTGTAGTCCAAACCCGCATTGAAGTTGGATTTTATATTACAACTAACCTCAATTCTGGTGTTGTAACATGATTATGGTGCAGGAAGTTGTTGATGAAAAAGACGCTGTAATTAAAGAAGTTGAGCTAAGAGTGGGGAGAAGACGCCAAAAACGCAGTTAAGAGAGCTCTCGAGGAACTGAACGAATTTCACCCAAGTGGCCGGTTCACTGTTCCTGAACTGTGGAATTTCGAACATGGGAGAAAAGCCACACTCAAAGAAGGAATTGCTTGTATAACCATAAATATTGAACACTACGAAATAGCAATTGAAATACGAGTTTTAAAAAATAAACGTTAAGAAAAATATAAACGAATGGAGGCGAGAGTATGATCTCCTTCCTTAACTCTTTCAATTGCCTGTAGTGCGATGGGTTTCTGTAATTCAAGAGTCGCAGGATACAACCAAACTTATCCGTTTTCAACAGCATTAAGAAACATTAAGAAACACGGATCTAAACGAACTATAATTCTACTATACTCTCGGGAGAAGACTTATGAAAAATAAAAGAGAGAGAGAGAGAGAGACTGCTGAGAGAATTTCTGAGAGGAAAAATGAGAGGTGTAAGATCTAAAAAATGAGAGAAAAGTCGTGTATATATAGCGGAGGAAGAGACTTGAGCAGTCTCAAAAAATCCCAAGAAATCCGCTAGTCAACACGAATCTCGGCCATAAATTTAGCATAGTCAAAGGCGAGAAATCAGCAATCTGTGATTAATCACAATCTGATACGTTTTTGAAGGGATAATAAATATCCAATATTCTCTTTAACTGAATCAAAACATATGCAGAAAGTCAACATAAAACGTTGACCAAAACGCCCATAAAAAATACTCGCCTTTCGACCAACACGACCCGTGCCCGGCTTGGCTTGGCGGCGGCAGCGGCGCGCGTGAGCCTTATTCTTTTCTCTCTCACATGTTTTGAACATATATAAAGCATATCTTAATATATATACTACAGATTTTCCCACTAATCCACCGATGTGGGACAAAATCACTTACAACACACTTCATTTCATCTTCACCCTTAATGGGCTCAATAATTTCGGCTCAACATTGCTCACATGACAAAGCCGGTCAAAAATCTCAAACGCAAACGAACCTGAACCAAACAAAACACGTTGTGAGTGGTTTGTAAAAAGTGTTTGCGCTTCTGGTATCTTTCTAATATTTAGACCTCTTTTGGTTAGTTATTTTGTGTCTTGACACTAAGCCGGCTAAACCAGTGGATGGTTCTTTTGAAATTCTGGTGTTTTTCTATTAACGTTTCTTCAGCTGAAACAAGTTATTTTGTATCTCTTTAAACTAAGCCGGCCGTTTGCTACTGTCTCCGTTATTTGGTAAAAATCAGGATTTTTATATAAATCAGGATTTTTACCCTCAAATTCATGTTTTTTTTTTTTTTTTTCTCATAAGAACAACGGTCCTTTTTCTCAAAATATCATCCCTCTCAGGAGGCTAATGAAACATCTAATTACCATTACAAAGATCTACATTCAGCTCTTCTTTTAGATGATTACAAATTTGACATATATACTTATCAAACAAAGATAAATAGATAAGACTAAATAAAATTAGTATCATCTCTACCACCATCTTCACTCGTAACCTTAAAAATATTTAATTTCCTAGTAATCCATCTAAATCAGTATACATAAGTGGTAAATCCACAGTTAAAAACCCAATTAAAATGCAACAAATATTTATAGAACTCAAATGTGAACCAGACGTAGAGTCTTTTCCCATGTAATAGTTACGTTAAAGTGATGTCTCTACCTCACTAACACTCCCTAGAGCCGGCCCGTTATGACCTCAAAGATGGAAAATTAAGGTAGAGACGGGTCGCTGGAGTTTTTTTTTTTTTTCTCTGAACTATTTTATTTGATTACGAAACCAGTTACAAGCCATGATACAAAATCATGCAGTTTTGCAAAGACATTACAAGAAATAAAAAGCTTGGATACATTGAATGCATCAATTGCAATCGCATCATCCGCTACGATTGAATATAGTGATTAAGATGCTTAAGACTAGCCACGTCCACCTCGTCCACCTCGGTTCCCACGACCTCGGTTTCCTCTTCCACCACTTGTGACTTGCCAATTCATCTCTTTAACTTTTGTTGGGAGAGGCAAAGTGATGTCTCTACTTCACCAATACTCCCTAGACATCAGATCGATGATGCTGAAGGGGATCCAGATGTAGAGAGCCATTGCTGGAGCATCAAAGAGGCCAGGGAGGAGTTTGATAACGAAAAATAGACATATATATATTTCATATTGTTTAGGGTTAGTGGACATATATTTGTATGTTTTTATTTGCCTTGATTTGAACTCCTCTCCTTTTCATTGGGACAAACTTGTTTCTTCTTGTCATGCTATAGATTTTCCTTTTTTCCAGATTTTTGGTTCGCCCAAATAAACAATCTTTGTAAAATGCAAATCACATAGGGATTAGGAGAACAAATACTAATATACAGAGAGCCGTTACTTCCCGCCAACGCAACTGGGACAGATATAAAGTAGCCCAACCGTTGGCAGTAACTAAAGACAAATTCAGGACTCCATTCTTTAGTTTCCTGAAGAGGAAGTAACGAATATATTCTTGTGTGGGCATTCAGAGAATGTAATGGCTTACCTTCCTCAAAACAAAAATCTGTGGATCAGAGAGAGATTTTAATATAAATAAATTAAAACAGATGCTGCTTAAGAATAAGAAGAAGAAGGACCAAAAAAAAAACTCAAATAATGGAGCTTGAATTGGGTTTGAAGATTACTCGAACAAGAGACGATGTTTCTTCCTCTACAGATTTCCGGGTTTGCAGAGATTCTTTTGGTCAGCTCTCGCTTTCTCGAGAAACCGATTCTGTGTTCTTCCTCGTTCTTCATCTCAAAGGTTCTTGCAAACATTTTCTTCTCTCAAAAGTTTTTTGTTTCTTGAGCATTTTTTTTTTGTTTTATCTGATTAGAACTTGAAATTGAAAACTAAATGCAGGATTTAAGAAGCAAGGTATCGATATTGAGATAAACGAAGAAGGGAATCGGATTAAGATAAGCGGAAGAAAACATGTAGAAGAAATGATTTTGATAAAATGGGTAGAATGGAAAAAGGAAACAGAGATAAAGAAATTCAAGAAAGTGTTTCGGATTCCAGAAATCGTCAATGTAGACAAGATCAAAGCAAAGTTTAATGAAGAAGATGGGACTTTAACAGTTACATTGCCAAAGAAAATAAGGGGGATTTCGGGTTTGAAGATTGAGGAAGAGGAGGAAGAGGAGGAAGAGGAGGAAGAGGAGAAAACAGAGGAAGAAACAGAGCCAGAAGAAGATAAAACAGAGGAAAAATCAGAACTAGAAGATGAAATCAAAGAGGAGACTAAACCTGAGGAGGAAGAAGCAGCAGAAGAGCCAGAGGGGGAAGAGGAAGAAGACAAGATCGAAGAAGAGGTTTTGGAGGAAGAAGAAACAAGGGATCATGAGGAAGAAGAGAGAGAAGAAATCGAAGAAGATAGTAAACCAAAAAGGAAGAAAAGAAAAAAGTGTTGCTTTCCATTTGTTGCAGGATCCACTCTGCTTATGACTATTATTGTTTTTATTATTCAATTAATTCAGTCCAGAAGAAAATGAGACTGCCTCTTAGGATCTCAGGATAGGGTTCTTGATGTTTTAAAGGACAGAACCCAGTTTTCTTGTTATCTGTCTCTGTAAGGAAAAAATCTGGAGTAATATGTAATGTGAGATAGGTTTGTGTTGTTTCACTGGTCCTCCACTAGAAAAATTCGAATTTGAAATGGTTTTATACGGGAATCATTTATTCGGTATAATGCTGATAGAACAAAATATAAACTGTCAAGATCAATATATAAACTTAATGATAGCTAGTATCTGTTCAGTGTGAAAAGAAAAATGCAAAAGCAAGCGGTTACTTTTGCTCCAAGGCAACAAGAGAGAAAAGGCGTTGACTATTTGACTATTTTCAAATCCTAAAGAGGAAGTAACGAATTTAATTTTACTCCTTCTCCTTCCCTTTACTCTTTACTGGAACATTGGAGCATTGGAATCATCAGAACAGAGGATTTAGGGTTTAATTAAATGGAGCTCGAATTAGGATTGAAAATCACGAGAACGAGAGAGGATGTATCATCTTCCGTCGATTTTCGTTTCTCCAAAGACCCATTTGGTCCTCTAGTGCTTTCTCAAGAAACCGATTCAAGATTCATCATCATCATTCATCTAAAAGGTAATAAACTAATTCAATTTTCTTGAATTCTTGTCATTTTTTTTGTTTCTTTCTTATTTGTGTGTGTGTGCTCAAAGACTTGATTTCGATGGATGATGTGGGATAGTTAGGGTTGATTGATTTAGGTTTTATTGTTCTAAAGGATTATAGAAAAAAACTGATTAGAGAAGGTTAATTTGGGGCAGGATTCAAAAAGAAAGGTATTGAGATTGAGATAAACAAAGAGGGGAATCGGATTACGATAAGAGGAAGAAAACCTGTTGAAGAAATGGTTTTGATTAGATGGATGGCATGGAAGAGAGAAGTTGAATTAAGGGCATTCAGGAAAGTTTTCCTGATTCCAGATGTTGTTGATTTAGACATGATCAAAGCCAGATTTGACGATAATGATGCGACTCTTACCATCACAATGCCCAAAAGAGTAAAGGGGATTTCAGGATTTAAACTTGAGCAAGAAGGAGAAGAAGAAAGAGTGGACTCTGGAGATGTGAGTGAAGCTACAGAGGAAACAAGACAGATTAGAGAAGAAGTTGAAGGGGGGAATGTAGAAGGAGAAGAATCTGATGAACACTCTCAGATTCAGAGAGTTGGAGAAATGATGGAAAATAAAGAAAGAGAGAATGAAGTTTCTGACGGTGAAGAAAAGGGTTTCAGTGGAGGTCTGTGTGAAGAAAAAACTCAAACTGAGGATGATAACTTAGAAAAGATTCAGCAGATCATTGAACAAGACAAGATTTTGGAATTCGCAGAAGAAGCAACAGTTGGTCAACAAGATTTGGCTGATTCAAATACAGAGAGGGAGGACAGTAGCTTAAGAAATCTTCCAGACATTGTAGAACAAGGAAATAAGGAAGACGTGATGGAGAAGCAAGTTTCACAAGTAGAGACTAAAAGTGATGACGTTGAATCTACAGCATTTGAGGAGATTGAAGAACAAGAACCTGATGAGGAGCTAAATAGAACAAGTAAAATCAGAGAAATGGAAAAGAAAACGACTGATGGTAATGATGATGATGATGATGGCTTGAACAAGGTTCAAGGGGATGAAGAACCAGAGAGACACAACGAAGAAAGTGAAACAGGTGGTCAAGAGAAAGAAAATATTGTAATGATGGAGAGGAAAAATAAGGATGCGAAAGAAGAGGTTGATATGAAAATGGGAGAAGGATTCAGACCAAACATTGAGAGAACACGAGTGATTGGAGAAGATGACATTGCAGAAACTGAGACAAAAGCTGAGGAGTTTGAATCAGATAAACTGGTAGAGAAGAAAGAAGATAAAGAAGAACAACATTCTAAAGGAAAAAAACGACAAGAGAAAACTCCAGAGGCAGAGGCAAATATAGGGGATGATAATCCGAAACCAGTTCAAGAGAGATGTGAAGGAAAACACAAGACTCAAGAAAATTCCCATGAGGAAACAAATAATCAGCAAGAAGAGTACGTAGAGAAAACTGTAGAGACGGGGAAAAAGATTAATGAATTTGGTGCAAGAAAGGTTCAAGAGTTGGAGGAACCTGCAAGATGCGATAAAGAAAGCAAGACCCGTGAATTGGTGAAAAGCAAAATAAATAATGAAGAGGAAGAGGAGAAAAATATTGCAGAAACGGAAATAACAGAGGAGAAAGAACCATATAGACCAAAAATGCTCGGTGAACAAGAAATGCTCCAAGAACTAACTGATGAGAAGAGGCAGTTTTTCGAAAAATGGAAAACTCAAGGGAGGGAAGAAAAAATTGCAGATAAGGAAACAGAATTTGGTGATGATGATGTTTCAGAAATGTCCGAGATATTGACCAACGAGAATCAGATGCCAAAGATGATTTTGACGC